TGTTATAACCTTATAACAATATATAGTTTTAAAATGAAAGAAGTAATAATTAAGAAAATATTTTTAAATTGTTTAAATTAAAAAAATTACCACCAAAAATTTCCCCTACATAAATTGAAAGAGATATATAATTTTATTTAATAAAAAATAAAAATTATGATTCTTATAGATATTCCTTCTGTTTAAAAATGTAAGGCATTTTTAACCAAATTTCACCCCCAATAAAGTAGTTACCTATTTTTAAACTAACTTTATCTTTTCATATTTACCCCTATTAAACACCTAATAATAAATATAAAGTCATTATCAATAGGGACAATTTTGAAAAAAGGTAATGATTATATTTAGAAAGACTAAAAATACCTTAAATTTTTAAATATTTTACTCTTTAAAAAATATCTTATATTTTTGAATAGAAGGAGTAATATTTATATGTTGTATATTACTTTCAATAAAACATCGTACATATTAAGACAGTTTTTTATTTTTATGCTCATATAATTTTTATGTTTTATGTAATGTTTATTTCAATTTAAACTTATTAAATTTTACCTTTAATGTAATTTGATAAAATAAAGTTATATTTTTTAAAAAAGCATTAATAATCATACTCAATACAAATTTCAACTCGCCAGCTAATTGTTTTGGCTCCTCACTCAACAAGACACATTAAAAATTAAACAATACTCACCTAGATTTTTATTTGAAAAATTGTCAATAGCATATCGTCATTATATCCATCTATCATAAATTATCTATAAATAACAATATTTCAATCTAAATTTAAAATTTATAGTAAATGTTGTAAATATAACAAAAATTCTTGTTAAGAGATGTTTACATTGATATAAATCCAAACTAGATTCATCTAAATTGAAGCCAAATATATAACTTCTGAATATTAGTTGGCGAGTTAAAAAAATTTGTAATAATTAATGCTATTTTTAAGCCATCGCCGTCGATACATATGCTGGCGTAGATTGCAATCACCGGCAAAATTAGTACGAAAAAATATTTGTTTTCATCACGCTGACAGGGAAGCATATCTTTTTTCTTTTTTTTTTGTTGGCTGTGGATAGAAGATATTAGATTATTATATATAAGTCGATATTCTTAAATAAGGTTTTAAAACCGAACTAGCCACTGATTCATGATTCATTAATTCAACTATAGTTGAATCGCGGTTGAACCAGTTAACATTAAATTAATATATTTTTAATTTATATATCATATAAATAAAAAATATATGCAAATTTTTATATTTTTCAAAAAATATATTAATAAATGCTTGATAAAATGATATATTATTGGTGAATATATGGTTAATATTAATTATTCTTGGCTATTCTTTGTTTTAATTAATTTTTAAATTAATTTTTTAAATAATTCAAACTGATTTTTAAGGGAATTGATTTTTTTAATTTTTGACCAATTTTTCCTATCGTTGACTTATTCTCTTGTGACCAATTTTAAAAGGTCAATCGAATAGAACCAAGAGCGAGTTCTCAATTCAACAGGTTGAACCAGTCAGTTTTTAAAACACTGTTCTTAAATTTATATAAAAATTTTTAAATATTTTTTATTGTATATAAAATATAAAATCTTCTCTCTCGTTTATGAAAAAAAAAAAAACTTTATAAAATTTACAGATTCTCAATTTCAATTCCCGGTAAACACATAGTATATATGATTAGTCCCTACCCATTTAAGTATTTGATTCTTTGGAAAAACTAGAATCGTTCACTTTTCGTGCTTGGATGGATCATTTTTTAAAGAATGAAATAAATATTTCAAGTGAATTTTCCATAAAATACAAAAAATTGATTATAAAGAACTCCCCACAGTATTAATATTGTTCAATTTTAATTTCTCTACCAACAGTTAATTTTAAATTAATGAGTATCATCCTAAAATAAAATTACGATTAAAACTTTAAGAAATTTTGAAGCGTAATGAATGAATCGCATTGCTTACATTTTGCCAGCAATATTCTTACCGATTTTATAAATACACATAAATATAGATGCAGAGATTTAGAAAATAGTAACTGAGTAGGTTACATACACTTGCACAAAAAGTATGAAATAAATTTCATTATTAATAAATAATAAATAATATAATTTAATGCATTTTTATCATATTGATATGGATATGAATATTTTATAAAAATAAAATAAAAGTAAGAGTAAAGTGGGTAGAAAGTTGTGGAAGGAATGTGATGGCCATTATAACTTGGATGGTCATTTAATTATTTGTCACAACCAAACTTGCCTTTCACTCCACTACCAAATTTTCAAATATACTGTTTTGATCCTCTATAAATTATTTTTATTAATTAAGGCTAAAAAAAGAGGAAAGAACATAAAAGTATATAAAATTTTAAATATGTTTTTATATAACAAAATTAAAAAAAATGATGCATGTTATTCTCTCTCTTATAATTTTAAAATACTTTTTAATATTACTTAAAAAGCCACTTCATAATTTATAAATAGAATTAAATGAATTTTTAAAATGTTTTTATAAATAGAAAAAATGTTCATTCATTCATCATAGCCCTCTTTTCTCATTATTCTATAAACTTCAGATCAATAATTCAATATGACATATTGACATTTACAAACACACATATAAATAAATTTAATTAAAAAATTTAATTAAAAAATCAATTCTATTTTTTTTTTTGGGGTGGTTTTAGATCTACACATATGTGCGATCGTGTCTCAAAAGAATGATTACTTATTGACTATTTAACTATAGAAGACAAAAAAAAAAAACAATTGAATATAAAATATTTTGTCCTGCCATTCTTCAAAGTATGTCTTACTATTTTAAAATATTAATATCAACATGAGATTGTTTTCCTTGTTTTTCAAGAAATTGCTAATATGAGATTGAATGTTACATATCTCATCTTTAGTTCAAAATATATAAACACTTTTAATGAAAACATAATCTTTAATCCTTATAGTTTTAAAGAGTTTTGTTTTTAATTTTTATAATTTTTTTCAACATATTCAGTCCTTATAGTTTTTAAAAAAGATTAGATAATATTTATTTTTTATATTTCTATAATTTTTATTTTTCAATAATTTTAGTCCTTACAACGCTGAAAAAAACTATAAGAACTAAATTTAAAACACTGTTTTTAAAACACTGTTTTTAAGAAATTTTGAAGTGTAATGAATGAATCGCATTGCTTACATTTTGTCAGCAATATTCTTACCGATTTTATAAATAACATAAATATAGATGCAGGGATTTATAAAATAGAGTAACTGAGTAGGTTACATGCACTCGCACAAAAAGTATGAAATAAATTTCATTATTAATAAGTAATAAATAATAAAATTTTATACATTTTTGTCGATAATATTGACATGAATATTTTATAAGAATAAAATAAAAGTAAGAATAAAGTGGATGGAAAGTTGTGGTAGGAATAGGATGGCCATTATAACTTGGATGGCCATTTATTATTCGTCACAACCAACTTGCCTTTCACACCAAATTTCCAAATATACCCTTTTGATTCTTTATAAATTATTTTTATTAATTTCATCAATAGTATGCAAAAAAAAAAGATAAAAGGAATAAAAATGTATAAAATTTTAAATATATTTTAATATAACAAAACTAAAAAAAATGATCATGTTTCTCTCTCTTCATAATTTAAAAATACTTTTTAAATATTATTTAAAAATACGCACCATAATTTATAAATAAAATTAAATAAATTTTTTAAAATATTCCTTATAAATAAGGCGAACATTCATTCATTCATCATAGATATGTATTCTCATTATTCTTTAAACTTCAGATCAATATGGCATTCACAAGCACACATATACAAATAAATTTAATTAAAAAAAATCTATTCTTTTTGTTTTTTTTTTGGGAGGGGGATTTAGATCTATGAGGATATTAATATATTGTGACGATATCTATAAATATATATATATATATATATATAATTAATTCAATATTAGCATTTCTTATGGGGGAAATTATATTGAGTTGTTTTATTTTTGAAAATTTTAAGTTCTTAATTCAATGCAAACATATCCCTCTATGAAAAGATATATTATTCTTGGAAGAGGCAAAGCTCACGTGTGTGATCGTGTCTCAAAAGAATGATTACTTATGACTATTTAACTATAGAGGACACTAAAAAAAAAAATCAATTGAATATAAAACATTTTGTCCTGATATTCTTCAAAGTATGTCTTACTATTTTAACATATTAATATCAACATTATCAATATTCAATATATATTAATTCTATAACGAAAAACTATAAGCTATGGGTAATGATACAATATATCCAGCATCCACATCTGCTGTAACAAATGAGTCTATATATTATGTAGAGTCAAAATAAAAATATTATATTGTATAAAAATAATTAATATTAATACTAACATCATTAATCAATATAGAGTTGTTAATATAAGGTATGAACTGTGTACCATATGTGTGCCCCAATTAAAAGAGAGCAAAAGAGGAAAAATTATTGAGAAAAAGAACCAATTATATAGCAAATATGTGTGAGAGAATGATAGAGAGGTCCCCAATTAATTCAAATGAGGTAATCAAGTGTCAAATTTTAAAAATTTACAAGTTTAACTCTCAACTTTGTAATTTCATTATGATGAATTTTAAAAATTGAATTTCAAATTTTAACATGAAAAAAATTTATTTATTATTCAGCCATTTTAAAATTTAAAAAATAAGCTACAAATTATTACCATAAAATTATAAAATTGAGATATGAACTTGCAAATTTTTAAAATTTAACACTTGAAATTTTATTCAAATTAATTAGTCCTCTTAAGACTCATTTATCATTCTCTCTTATTATATGTATCCTAAAGAGCCAGTAGAAGTAACAATGAAGAGTTGATAAAGTGGGTAATAAGAAAAAGAATATAGGAGGAAGGGAGGATTTTGTGGTCTATAAAAGGAAGTAGATGTGTGAAGGAGAGAAACAGAAATAACAATAATAATGGAGGCTTCTCTTTCACTATGCTGGCTTGTGCTTCTCCTAATTGCTTCGTCTTCTTCTTCCTATGCAGCTCGCTTGTTTGACGCCACCTCACCAGTCTCACCACCACAGCTCGCCAGATACTCCCTCCTCAATGGCCTCGCTCTCACTCCTCCCATGGGGTAATATTCCTCTCTCTCTCTCTCTCTCTCTCTTAACACACACACACACACTAGACATTCTTCTTCTTCTTCTTGTATTCCATTTTCGCTTGGGAAAATCACTCTAGCTAGAGTCCCATACAAGGAATCTTAATACAAAAATGTTCTCTCAAGTACTCCCGTGTCTTTTATTGAAGTTCTTAATTATTTGTTAGATAGTTGTTAGTTATATTATTTTTTAGTTTGTCAATTATCAAAGAGTATTTAGTTCAATTGATTGAGAGAGTTGAATTAATTTATCTTAAAGTTTTCAGTTTAAGTTTTGAGATATATAATTGTTTAAAAAAAAATGTCAAAGGCATGCCCTAAATACCTAGCTATGAGACCACCGTCGATAATAATTGTTTCATATAGCGGGAGGTTTAAATCAGTTTGAGCGGGTAGTGATAACATTTTTGATTTTTCCCAAGATATTACGTGATGGAATGAAAAAAAAAATTAACAACTATCCAGCAATAATAAACAATTTCAATATATTAAATTGAGAAATATACAAAATATATGGGACGACTTCAAAGTATTTTGTGATTCTAGGAGACATTTCTATAACGAGTGATTTCTTGCATAGGACCTTATTGGGTGAGGTTTCCTTTTCATTTATACACACGTTCTTAAATTATAATTATTTAAATAATATCCTTGTAAAACTCCGCATGCTATCGTAATAATATAAAGCCTTTTCTCTTTTTATTTTTTTTAAAAGAAAAACTTATAGAAATTCACTCATCTCAACTTGAGATGATTTTAAGCTATGCATGTCATGAGTCTTTCTCATTTTTATAAATAATTAATTGAATTTATTTCTTGTTGGCATAATAATATATAATATTCAATTGTTTGTCCCCTCACAATTTCAATTATTATATACACGCGCTTTGTGTTTAATTTACCCCATCACAATCTCCTTGTTTTTATCGTCATCACGTGCGTTGCTTCCATGGGGCACTAGGACAACTCATACTCACAGCGAATCTTAATAAATCTCCATTTTGTTTAGAATAAATTATACATAGTTTTTCTTTCTTGATTTCTGAATATGTTTTTTTTTTGCCAATATACTTTAATTTAATTTCAAAAATTTTTGTCAGAACATCCTCAATAAAGCAGAATCCATGTTTTTTAAGGTAAGAAAATAAATGTAAGATATTTTTTAAAAAAATTAATTTTGGTTAAAATTTAAAATATTTTTTCCTTTTTAAAAACAAAAAACAAGTGTAAATTACTCTAATTTATAAAGTGCGGCAAGCAATCACCACTCCATTGGAGGTTCATGCCATGGTGGTGCCTCTTCACTTATAATTTAAGCAACCATGATGAATCTCTTTGGTGGGTTTTTGCCTGATTTTATATATAATTGAAGGATGGGGGTGATAAAGTTACAAGTTTTTTTTTAACATTTTTATGATCAACTTTATTAATAAATTTAATATGCAAAAGTTTTTTTTTTGGGAATAAAATCAATGGGGTAAGGTTTAATTGTAAAAATATTTATTATATTATTGATACATTTATTATTCCTTATTTATTAATTATAAATTAACAAATCATTCTTCTAAAAAAATGGAATAAAATAAAAACTTACTTATAGATTTATTTTTGAGAAAGTGCACGTGAGCTTTATTTTTTCCCCAACTAGGGAGGATCATGATAAAAGAATGGGGAAGAGAAAATGAAAAGCACAAGATTTGGATTTTATTGGGGGGAAAAAGATTCAAGTTTCAACAAACACTAGGTAGGAGCCATCACTTCACCCACAAATCCTCAACTCCACATGTTTACAACTACACTCAGAGTTCTGTCCTCATGTGCCCTTTGAAATCTTAATTATCAATTAGCATCACTTCGTTCCGTGTTTCAATTTTTATGTTTAATTTATTTTTTTATTTTTAAAAAATAAATATTAAAATTGTAGTAATTTTAGTAGGGTCATTCTAACCTTTTTTTTTTAATTAATGAATCAATCCTTAGAATTATGGTTAACTTTAATCAAAGTTATTAGAGACGATGTGTCGTTGATTCAATGATAACATATAGTTGGTATGACAATAAGTTCTCTGTCCTCATGTGCCTGCCCTTTGAGATCTTAATCATCCATAAGCATCACTTCATTCCAGAATGTGTTTCAATTTTTATATTTAATTTATTTTTTATTATTTTTATAAAATCAAGATTAAAATATGACAAGGTTTTTGGCCGCTAAAATTGCAGTCAATTTTCCTGGGGTCATTTTACTTTTTTTTTTATTATCAATGAATCAATCCTTAGAATTATGGTCAACCTTAGTCAAAGTCACTAGAGATAATGTGTTGTTGATTTAATGATAACATTTAGTTGATATAACAATAATATTCGGTAATTGTAAGATTAAAGTTGACTATAAATTTAGGAACTGATTCCTTTATGATAAAACTACAGGGACCTGGACCCAATTGATCAAAATTTTTGGGACTAAAAACTGTTTTCCCTAAAAAGAGTTTAACTTCACATCTTAAAAACAAGTTTGAACTATCACCAAAGAATGAAAAAAATAAAAAATATGTTTTAATACTTTAAAAAATATAGTATAATATAATATAATATTTTTAGATATTTAGCATAATATAGTACTTTTATTAATAATTAGTTTTTGAGTATCAAGAGGGTTCAACATGAAAGTATAATTTTCTCCCCCTCCCCCCTCATAAGGCGTATATATATATGATAATTACTACTTTATTTGGTTCTCTTTAAAAAATAAAATAGTCTCTTTCTCATGATCTGGAAGTCATATTCTATTCTGTTACTAATTTGAACTCATGGGTATATCAATGACTTTTTTTTCAACATTAACTGTTAAACTTGTAAGAGATAACCAGGAGTTTGAACTTTAAGGTTAATAATTGAATTTTTAAATTTTCTATTTTACAATAAAGTTCTGTAATTCATATATTGTAATGAATTGTTTTCTTTTGGCCAGAATTGTAATGAATTAAACTCTTAAATGACGAAGTTTGATAACCAAATTATTAATGATGATCAGATGGAATAGCTGGAACCATTTTGGCTGCAATATTAATGAAGACTTGATTAAACAAACAGGTAATATTTTTATGATCAATCTGAGAATAAAACTAATTAATGTACAAAAATTATATTAATTTATTTGTTTATTTTGCATGAGACACATGTCATTTGACTTTCGATTATGTCATATCTTCTGATTATCATATAGCTGATGCAATGGTGTCAACGGGCCTTTCGTCTTTGGGATACCAATATATCAATATTGGTAAGATAATATTAGGTTAACACAATTATTTATAGCAATAAATAGTTGATTCATTATATTCCTAAGAAAACTATTTTTTTTTAATCATGATTTTCTATGATCTCTAGATGATTGCTGGGGCGAACCTGCTAGAGATTCTCAGGTAATTAATATTCAAAATCAGTTTCAATAATTATCTCATCATCAATAGGCTTACTGTTTCAATAAAATTTTACTCTGATAGAAGATTAAGAGTGAACATATTTAAAAACTTTTTGAGTTATATTCATCCGCTAGAAAAGAATAAGAAAACCTAAGAGAATTCTGACGTGAACTGTGACAGGGAAATTTGGTAGCAAAGGCTTCAACATTTCCTTCAGGAATCAAAACTCTGGCTGATTATGTTCATGCAAAAGGTTTAATGCTAGGGATTTATTCTGATGCTGGGTATCACTTCCACCATTATACCACTCTTTAATCTTCACTGACCGCTCATATATATATAGTATATATTATCCGTGCTTATTCAAACATTTCTCATCTCTCTTAAACTTTCTCTGCAGAACTCAAACTTGCAGTAAAAGGCAGCCTGGTTCACTTGGACATGAAGACCGTGATGCAAAAACATTTGCTTCCTGGGTAATCTAATCTTCATTCTCATTAAATTTTATCATATATATATATATATAACATTTACAGAAGATTTTGATTCAAATGTTACTTTAGGGAGTTGACTACTTGAAGTATGATAATTGTGAGGATACACATAGTCTTAGTCCAAAGGAAAGGTACCATTTTGAAGCATTCAAGTGAACATAAGAAGCAGTTCATGAAAGAGAAAATTTATAATTACATTTTGTGAACACAGGTACCCCATAATGAGTGAAGCTTTATTAAAATCTGGAAGGCCCATCTTATTCTCTCTCTGTGAATGGTGACTATTCCACTTACTCTTTCCCTTAAGGTTTCATACACTGCAAATTTCACAGTCTGAATTTGTTTTTGAACTTAGGGGAGTACAAGACCCTGCAACTTGGGCCTCAAGTGTGGGAAATAGCTGGAGAACAACAGGAGATATTGCAGATAATTGGAACAGGTGACCAAGAATAATATATTTATATATATATATAAGCCTCTGTGTGTGTGTATTTTAATCTGATGCTTAATCAAGAAGTTGAAAGGTGTGCTTTATGTCACCTGTATTTTTTTTTTTTTTTTTACTAATAACGTTCGTTTTTTCTCAGCATGACGTCTCGAGCAGATGAAAATGACAAATGGGCATCCTATGCTGGACCCGGAGGATGGAATGGTAATCAATTTTACTTGATTTTCATGCTATTAAATTTCACAAGATTATAGACAACATGTATTATAATACCAACTCTCACATTTAAGGTTTCATCCTATGCTTATTAAACTTGATTTTCATGCTATTAAACTTCACAAGATTATAGACAACAAGTATTATAATACCAACTCTCACATTTAGGTTTCATCCTATGCTTATTGTTGAACCTGAATTTGATTCTGTTTTCAAACAATGCGAAAGTAAAATCTTGGCAAACAAATAAACACTTGTGACTGTCAAATTACTTTTGCTTCTATTTATTATGTCTTAGAGGAAAATAGATTTCACATTCTCAATACACATGTTTGGCATCAGATCCTGATATGCTTGAAGTGGGAAATGGAGGCATGACAACCGAGGAATATAAAGCTCATTTCAGCATATGGGCATTAGTTAAGGTAGAAGGAAACAAAATACTAACATTGGCATTTATCACATATAGCAAATAGTTCTAGGAAGTGAATTCTGCGGTTTAAGTATAATTTTTCTTGTGTATATGTTCAAGGCTCCTTTGTTAATTGGGTGTGATATCCGAGCTATGGATGATGCAACTTACGGAATTCTAAGCAACAAGGAAGTTATCGCAGTAAACCAAGGCATGTACAGAACAAAAGCTCTGGTACCCAGCCAGCCTTCTAGGCAGATAGAGGCATTGTTGATCTCCTCCATAAAAAAATTCTCTTACTTGTAATCTTCTGGTAATGCAGATAAACTAGGAGGTCAGGGCAAAAGGGTGAAAAGCAAAAACGATTTGGAGGTAATTTCTTTCTTTTCATTGGGAAAACGATTCTCAACATCATCACTAACGTCATTCTATGCTTTACATATTTCTCGGCAAAGCTATCAAACTGATTCCAAAGTCCAACTAAAATTTAACTGATTTTTATATTTTCTCATGCAAATTATTTGGGATCAAATCAAGCTTTGAATTGAAATAGGTCATCAAAAGATAACAAAATCTTTATGATGGAGATGGAGTGATTTTCATGCTTTAAGGCAAACAAGCTTTCATGTGATAAGGTGTATCAGGATAAGAAAACCATTGGTAAACATTCATTCATGTTTTGTGCTTTTGGCTTGAAGTTATCACTATAAAAAATCGTGGCATATAAAGAGCCTCTCAAGTTAAAACCACTTTTAGTTATGCATACCAATTTTCCCAAATGCAAACTACTTAGAAGAAAGTGAAAGTGACAGGTTTGGGCTGGTCCCCTGAGTAATCACAAGGTGGCAGTGATCTTATGGAATAGAAGTTCAACAAATGCGACAGTCACTGCGTCTTGGTCTGACATAGGCCTGAAACCTGGGACTCTAGTTGATGCGAGAGACTTATGGACTGTGAGTTACATACCAAGAATGTCCTCAGTTCATTTCACATAAGATGGCCATCATTTTGATTACATGTAATGAATTGTGCAGCACTCAACTGTATCATCAGTTTCTGGAGAAATATCTGCTGAATTGGAATCACATGCTTGCAAGATGTATGTTTTGACTCCACACTCCACCACAAGATCCTAGTTCCCATATGCAGAGAAGGGTAAGCAAGTGGACACTGCTGCTCAATGTTCCCAGAAGTAATAGAGAAACAGACATGAATTTATTTCAAAAATGATATGTACAACTAGAAGCACAAGCTAGACGTTCAATATTCTGGTTCAATCCAATATGCTATTTTGTTAAATTTGATCTAGTTGCCAAAGCAAGCATAAACATGGACAGCATACTTAGTCATTGGTGAATCTATTGAAATGGAACAGGCCAAGCACAAATTGATTGGTGAATCAAAGAGACACTAGGTAAATGTTATGAAAGGAACAGAGAATCACTGGAAACAGAGAAAGGGTTAGGGAAAGTTGGGATACAAATTCCTCTTTAGTAGAAGTATCATCACAAAAAAAGTCATTCCTTGCAATTAATTTAAGGGGCTTATCTCTATCCTCCAACGGAGGGAATCAACATGTTAAAACCAGCAGAAAGGGACTATACTAATGAGTCCCAAATTTAGGAAAAATGGACCATATGCAATCATAATTAGATGAACTTAAACATATCTCAACATTCCAGTGACCTGTACAATCAAATCGTCCAAGACTGAGAGGAATGAAGAAGGACAGCTTAAGATTTTTCTGGTGTTTGAGATTTGAATAGCTGCTAGGCTGCTATTATTTCAAATGTTATCATCCAAAATTATAGCACTTTTATGATAATGTGAACAAATCATATTTTTTATTAGGTATCACTGGATGAAGTAAAGACTAACTCAACTATAGTGAAGCCTTTAGACATGGTTATGTTGTATTTCTCATCAAAAATATATAATAAATAACATTGCAACTTGCAAGCTCATCACTTTGCAGAAATTGACATGAATATACAAATCCAACTCCATCACTCTGCAGAAAAGTCCTAAACTCGTTAAGCTACAATAATGAACTCATACTTCGGATCTACCAGCAAAGCCGCTATTACTGTTTCTGCTTGTCCTTCATCCTACAGTTGCAGAAATTGATCAAAAATGGGGATTTTTTTTTTAAGTTTTTAACAGGGGACAAGAGCGTCTTTTCTGCACTTTTGGCTTTTCCCTTCTCATCCGAATTCAATCATATCAAATGCCCACAATTTTCATTCCCTTTTCCTTTCCCCTCCACACCAAACAATACTTGGATTCAAAGTCTGTAAAAGTCTACAAGTTATTGAAAAATCAACGATGTTGAATGAAGTAGATGAGCCTTTAGTTGTGGAGAAGAAAAATTAAAGAGGATTGACATCATAATGGAGACAAAGAAAAGTACAAAGAGGTAGAATATTAAATCCAAAAGCATCAACAACAATAATTTATTATATGCGGGCAACCTAATCTGATAGTGTTTGAACTTTTGAAAACCAATCAACAACCGCTAAGTCTCATCACGCCTGCAACTCCACCTTCTCCTATATAAACATAGATAGATATACAAATGACAGCATTATAAGTAGGAGGATTCAAGATCAAGATTGAGGGAGTGTAGTGACAGAGAGAGAGAGAGAGAGAGAGAGATGGGGTATGTGGGAAAAGATGATTCAGGTAAAAGGGGAGGCTTGATGTGGGCGCTTCTGCTGTTAGGTGCAATGACAAGTGCCTCATCTGATACTCTTTCCTTCAACAGAAGCACATCAGATCAGTTTAGAAGATTCTTGCTTGACAATGAACTCGGTCGTACGCCTCCTATGGGGTAACCTCCCTCCCTACTCCGTACCTTTCTCTTTCTCGTCTCTTTTTCATTCTCATGCTCATCATCTTCCACCTTCCTTTTAATACTTTCTTTACACACACAGACACTCTTATCTTATCTGTCTGATCTCTTTTTTTTTCTCTTTTCTTCGTTTTCCTCTGTTTTTTTAGTTTAACTTCCATGTTAGTAGCATCAAATTATCAATAGTTATTACTAGAACAGGAGAGATATCCGTGGGGACGATGAATAATTGGAAGCCATTGATGTCACTGTCACTGGTCAGTTGGAATGTGTGGGGGTCCAGGTCTGAGTTGAATAATGAGATCACCCATTCAATAGAATTGGATTTTTTTAATTGAAAAAAAGACGCAAACCTGATATTTTTTTTAAGAAATAAGGAAAATCACATTAAAGACATGTGAAAAAAATTAGTTGTAAACAAATTTCAATAACAAGTTATTAACGAGTCTACATTTTTATTTTAACAATTTATTTTATAGTAATCCTTATTTTGTGAATAACTTTTTTTCACAGAAGCTCCCCCCACCCGTATATTTTCACATGAAGCCCGGTGGAGGGGGGAAAAAAAAGTATACCTAGAAGAATTTCACAGGTGTCTATTGATTGAAATAATAGAGATTTAAGTTCTTTATAAGGAAGATCTAGACTAAATTTTACAAATGAGAAAGAAATTAAAATAGACGAGGTGATTTTTTTTCCCCATCAACATCCATATTATATTACTTGTGAATATTAACTATTGAGTGATTTAACATATCTAAAAGATATTTTAAATTAACCTATATATATATATATATATATATATATTTTGTTTGAATTACACCTGGGTTCTACAAGAAGCTAAAATACTACAACAATATTAACAAACCTTATCCTATAATTTTATAAAAAGCTATAATAATATTTATAAATAATGAATACTGTGGCTTTCCCTACTCCTGTGTAAAGCATTGTTATATTAAAACCTGTTTCGCTCCTAAAAAGGATAAAAATGACATTGATAAAAAATTAAAATAAAAATAAAATAAATTACCATTCTCTTCTTTATAATTAAGAATGATAAAATTAAATATTATATATTATAAATAAAAAAATCATCACGATCTCTACAAACTTCATAAATTATGACAGTATTATAAACTAAATTATTATTTTTTTTATGAACATGATTGGCTTATCTCATTTCCATATGAATGGGTGAGCATGGGTCCAATGTCTAATTGAGACAAAAAAAAAAATAAAGAAGCACCTGTATATGTGTAAGTAATTGACATTTAGATTAATTAATCAAAAACACCATTGTTTGACTTATCACAGTGTTAGTGGCTGTCTTCTTCAGCGTTGGCTTTTTATAATCGCACTCCAACGGGCCATGCCAGCTTCTCATGTCATTTTCCGGGTCCTTACTTGTCATTATCGTAATGAATAAATAAACAAATAATGGCCTTCCAAGAGTGTCGGCAATAAGATGCTAGTGATCCTCAAACCTTGTTTGGTACGCGAGAAGATGTCGGCGAAAAAGAAAGAAAACTCACAGCTTTCCAGAAAGAAAAATGGATTAATTAAGATTCGTGCTTTTTTCCATTAGATATACCCGTCTTGGTGTTTTGTTTGTGCTGAGTTTAATTTGATTAATGAAAACCACACTTGTGGATTTTAGCACACCTACGAATTAATATTCCACGAAGATTAGGTGATGATGATCCATTTCATGTTTTGTTTGTACCTATCTAATCCCAATTTTTTATTACAGAATAACAATAATAATTAGTTTCTGGGTGCACGTACGTCTTCTTCTCCCACATATATACAGTTGACTTCCCACCTCATCAAGTTTCCAGATTCTTATAATTTCATTCATATTATTTGATGAATATCATTTTCAAACATAATATATGCCTCATGAAATGTTTGTTTAATTAAAAGCTACATTTTGTATATAATTACATATATAAACTTTGGATAGTATATTTGCTGTAAATAACCTCATGACACTTTTCAAACATCATAAGCAGCTGACATAAATTTTTATTTTATGCAAATAAATTTTCAATTGACAACTTAATAAAAGTGATCATTTAGATAGTAAATGTATCTGGATTGTTCATGTTTGATATGAATAACCTAGAGGTTGATTATCAAGGTTTAAGGGTGGAGAAATTATTTACACGTAACCCGAAATTTAAGGAGTTTTATTCATGTATGGGCAAAACAAAAAGTCAAAAATGAGGTTTATTTATGCAACGTGACGATGATTAAATTATTTAATTTCTATATTGAGTAACTTATTTTGAATTTAATGAAAGTTTTGGTAACCAACTATGAATGATGATGATGATGCTCAGATGGAATAGCTGGAACCATTTTGGCTGTCACATTGACGAGAACTTGATTAAACAAACAGGTAATGACTTTTGTTTTTTGTATCAATCTCTGAATAAAACTAATGCATTGTTTTAAATTTAATTTGAGATTTTTTATCAGAAATTCATATATATATATATAAATATATATAAGTTAATATTAACTTAATTATGGATTTCATCTTTTGATTATTTTCCAGCTGATGCAATGGTGTCAACGGGCCTTGCTTCTTTAGGCTACCAATATATTAATATTGGTAAGCTAATCTTAAATTAATTATAGCAAAATAGTGGTTTTATTATTGTACTCTAAAAACTTGTTTTTTATTCATGATCTTCTGTGATTTTTAGATGATTGTTGGGCCGAAGCTACTCGAGACTCTCTGGTAATTTATAGTCAACATTTTTTCCACACATTTAAAAGATTTTTTTTGGACAGACAGCTGATACCAAAAAATTAATTGAATAGTTTCTTAGAAGTAATATTTTCTTGGTCGATTGACCAAAAAAAAAAAAAATCTCTTGGTCGAACTTCGATTTGAATGCCCTTTCCAAATCACAGTTATTTATATTAGCAGTACTAGTAAATTTAGTTTTTTTTTTTTTCTTTTTAAGAAAGCACAAGTTAACACAAATGATTAATAATACAGTTGCTACTATCAAACCAGACGTCTGAACTCTAGTAAAAATTCAGAGTTTACCGTCTGTATTATTATTTTGATTAAAAGATTTAATTTATCTTCTGAAAACTCCTAGTTCAATAAATGAACTCTGTGCACTTGAAATCTAAATGTGGCAGGGAAATTTAGTGGCAAACATTCAACATTTCCTTCAGGTATCAAAGCTCTGGCTGATTATGTTCATGCAAAAGGTCTTAAGCTGGGAATTTATTCTGATGCTGGGTATCACTTCCACCATTAAACCTATCATACATATCCCCACACACACATGCACGCATGCACAAGCTTTTATTGAAGCATTTTTGATATCTCATTTCTCTGCAGAACTCTAACCTGCACTAAGAAGCAGCCTGGATCACTTGGATATGAATACCAAGATGCAAATACATTTGCTTCCTGGGTAATCTCTAATTAACCTGCATTCATATTCACACACATGCACACACACACAAACACACACAATTTTGCAGAAGATTCTGATTGAAGCGTTACTTCAGGGAGTGGACTACTTAAAGTATGATAACTGTGAGGACACACATGGTCTTAGTCCAAAGGAAAGGTATGAATTTAAAGCTTTCAAGTGAACGTAAGAAGCAGTATGTGAATGAAGAAAAAGTTAAGTGTAAGTGTTATGAAACATTGCAGGTACCCCATAATGACTCAAGCTTTGTTGAAAGCTGGAAGGCCAATCTTTCTCTCTCTCTGTGAATGGTAAGTAATTCCATATTACTCCTTTCTCTCTGTTTCTGTAAGTTTACTGAATCTGAATTTGTTTTCCCTTGAGAAAATATGAATTGCTTTTTGAACTCCCAGGGGAAGAGAAGACCCAGCAACTTGGGCCAGAAATGTAGGAAACAGTTGGAGAACAACAGGAGATATTAAAGATAACTGGTTCAGGTGACCAATGATCAAATTATACATATATCAATCTGATGCAGATGCTCAATGTAGAACCATAATCATGTACTTTACGTTAAATTCATTCTGTACTGATAATGTTTACTTGTTTCTCAGTATGACATCTCTTGCTGATCAAAATGATAGATGGGCATCATATGCTGGACCTGGAGGATGGAATGGTAACAAATCTCACATGTTATAAGTGAGAGAGTAGACCTTCAATATAACCCAGAATAGAATTCATTCAATGATAATAATGAAGAGAGACAATCTGTTTGTTCATATCATATTGAGGAAGTGGACTTGACACTGTCGATGTATGTATTTGGAAACAGATCCTGATATGCTTGAAGTGGGAAATGGAGGCATGACAACTGAAGAATACAGAGCTCATTTCAGCATATGGGCGTTAGTCAAGGTAGAATGAAATAAGTAAATATATAGATAAATAATCTTTCTGAGAAAATGAATAGACTTTGCAGTATGAGTATTTGCTTTTGCACGTGTGTGTGCAGGCTCCTTTGCTGATTGGATGTGATGTTAGATCAATGGATGAGACAGCATATGAACTGCTCAGCAACAAAGAAGTTATAGCAGTAAACCAGGGTATGAACTGAACACTGAACAGATCAACAAACTCTAATATCATAGCTTTCTTCATATATAAAAGAAAAGCAATGATATCTTCAATAGAAAAATGCTTTAAAACTTCCTATCTTATTATGGTGATGCAGACAAACTAGGAGTTCAAGGTAAAAAGATGAAAAGTATTTATGGTTTGGAGGTATTATTGTCTCTCTCCTACACTTTTCTCTCACTGTTTATTATGCCACTATATGTTTTGTGTCTTTGTGACATATTTATTGCGACAGATATGGGCTGGTCCCCTGAGTAATAACAAGGTGGCTTTGATCCTATGGAATAGAAGGTCATTAAAAGCAACAGTCACAGCATATTGGTCTGACATAGGCCTCAAACCAGGAACTGTAGTTGATGCAAGAGATTTATGGGCTGTGAGTTTCTTGAAAATTACAAGCATATTGTCTTATTCATTTTCATTATTTAAGATGGCTCTATGTGTTCATAAGTTTATATAATGAATTGTGCAGCACTCAACTAAATCGCCAGTTTCTGGCCAAATCTCAGCAAAATTGGATTCACATGCTTGCAAGATGTATGTTCTCACACCCAAATATCAGTACACTTCCTAGATGTGTTTGTAGTTGTTCAGGATTCCTAGAAGTGTAATGGAAGGAAATAAAAATGATGTGTATTTAGCCAGTTGAGAGGTTGGCTTTAAGTGTTGAGGGAAAGATGAGGTGTCAATAGTGATCAAAATTCAAATATTGGTCACCATTTTAAATAAATGTGGGAAAAAAGAGAGGACTTTAAAATGTAAGCATTTATTTCATTTGATTTGAATTTCAAGTTAATTTAAGCTCCCTTAATTCTAGTACAATAAGATTTTTCAAGCTCTCCAAACTATTGAAATTGATATTTTTATATATAAATAGCTGGGCATTTATACTATTGAGTGAGATTCAAACATTATTAACCCAAGGATAATTCTTTTAATGTGATTTTTCTATAAAATTCAAATACTTAACCTTATTGAAGAAGAATTGAGTTCTTTCTACTCAATGTCTAATTAATCATTGATTGCTATGGCAAAAGTTGTCCATGTGGAACGAGAGCAACGCCACCGGTTAAGCTTTGCCCTGTTTTTTTTTTTTTTTTTGACCAATGGTTGCTCTGGGTTTCAATCCTAATATAGTCAAATGTACACAAATAAACTTCATTTGCACTTGGACTGGCGATGAGCCTATGACCTTCCCCTGGAGAGAAATAGCCCAACTTTTTTGGTATCCCTTTTATATCATCAATAGCTACCGACAAATATTGATTTAGTTTATAATAATCTGATTCATAATCCATAAAGTTGTGGATTTAAATTTCATTATTAATATGAAAAACTAATTAGTAAATAATATATAAATAATAAATGCTCTTTAAATTCAAGACATCTCTTAATTTAAGTGAATTCACTGCACTCCACTTACCTACTTCCTTAAAATAAAGTGAAATTCATAGTCTCAACTTTCTTTGTGCACAATAGAGGCTGCACGAAAGACAGGATCCCTAACATCACAATCAAATTTCAAATGAGCGATACAAATATAACTTTTTTTTTTTTTTGGTATCTGTCAGAATTTCAACCATTAAATATTTAGATGGGAAATTTTTGCAAATGAATGCAAATAATGCAAGATCCCCCCAAATACACTCTAACTTTTCATATAATTAGACTGGGGCTTGTGATTTTATGGAATATCATATACATTGGTATAGATAAAAATATTGAAAAAGCCCTTAAAACTTTTGTCCAGCATAAAGGCCTCAAACCTAGCAATCTCGTATCTGCCCCTTTAAATAACGCTTGATTCAAATTCTCGGACTTTTTCTCTGAACGGAGTTTGCTCCTCAAGGGCTTCGCTTTGAAACTTCAAATATGTTTTTGAGCAAAAAGAATCAAGCACTTTTGTCTCTTGAAGCCCCTTGTAGCGATACAAGTTAATTCTAGAACTGAACAAGGCCTCATCTTCTGTAAAACATGCAATAGAGAAATTCATAGAGCCTGATTTGGTTCATTTTCATCTCCCTGATCCCCTTCCATGAGGTAACAGAGAAGGTAAAGCTATGCCCACAAGTTGAGGAAGTAAATGTCGTTGCGTCTTTCATCGCTTTCCAATTTCAAAAGGCCTCTGTACTTGTGGAACCTAATGATTCGAGATTCCATCAATGATGGGCTATTCTTAGAAACACTAAAGATATACTCTTCCATGGCTCGCTCTGGGGTTCTTGGTAATAGCTTCACTTATCCTCTGGTCCTCAAGGCCTGTGGAAAGATTGCTTCTATTCGAGATGGATCGAAGATTCATAGTCGTATACTGAGACTCGGCTACGGAGAAGACACTTTTGTTGAAACCGCTCTCATTGATATGTACCCTAGATGCTCTCAAATTGCTTATTCACGCCTCGTGTTCGATGAAATGCCTGTGAGAAGCGTCATCTCTTGGAATGCAATGATCTCTGCTTATTGTCGTGGTCCTTGGATGGCCGAAGCATTGATTCTGTTGAAAGAAATGTGGGTTTGTGGTTTCGACCCAAATTCTTCCACATTTGTTTCCATCTTGTCAGGTTATTCCAATCTAGCTACATCCAACAAGTATATTGTTCTGGGTCTATCAATACACTGTTGCTTGATCAAACATGGGCTAGAATTTTCTGAGACTCCATTAACCAATTCGTTGATGAGTATGTATATAAACTTTGGTCAAATGAATGGAGCACGCAAAGTTTTTGACATGATGCGTGATAAGTCATTGATTTCTTGGACAATTATTATTGGTGGTTTTGTGAAAGTTGGAAATACTTCTGAAGCATTCAGAGTATTTCATCAAATGCAATGTCAAAGTACTAACATAGACTCCGTTGTGTTTTGAATCTAGCTTCTGGATGTATACAAGGAGGAAATCTCCGGTTAGCTTCATCTGTTCACTCTCTTGTACTCAAAAGTGGATATGATGAGGAGGAATCCATGGAAAATGCACTTGTAAGTATGTATGCAAAATGCGGAGACCTTGCATCTGCTAGAAGGTTATTTGATCTGGTCAATGAAAAAAGCACTTTATTATGGACAACTATGATTGCGGGTTATGCTTCTTCAGGCCATCCTGTGGAATCATTGGAACTATTTAGAAAGCTACTTAGAGAAGATATTAGACCGAATGAAGTGACCCTTGCAACAGTTCTTTCAGCTTGTGCCGATTTGGGATCTATGAGCATGGGACAAGAGATCGAAGAATACATTTTGCTGCATGGGTTCGATATTGATAAGAGAATCCAAGCATCTCTTATACACATGTACTCAAAATGTGGACTTATCAGAAAAGCAAGAGACGCATTTGAGAGAGTAAATGATAAAGATTTAGTAGTCTGGGCTTCCATGATAAACGGTTATGCCATTCATGGGATGGGGAGAAAGGCTATAAGCCTTTTCCATAAAATGCTAAGGGAAGAAGGTTTAATGCCTGATGCAATTGTTTACACCAGCATTTTACATGCCTGCAGCCATTCAGGATTGGTTGAAGATGGACTGAACTATTTTAAGAACATGCAAGAGGAATTTGGAATAGATCCTACCGTAGAACATTATACTTGCCTGGTTGATCTTCTTGGTCGAGTTGGTCGGCTTGATTTAGCTTTAGATATCATAACAGGGATGCCACGTGAAGTAAAACAACAAGCTTGGACCTCATTTCTTAATGCCTGCAGGATTCATGGCAACATTGAACTGGGAGAGCTTGCAGCTACTAAATTGTTGGAACTAGGTCTAGGAAGATCTGGAAATTATGTGTTAATGGCTAATTTGTATGCATCTTTGGGCAAATGGAAGGAGGGACACATGATGAGAAAATTGATAACTAGTGAAGGATTGGTTAAAGAATGCGGTTGGAGCCAAGTTGAGATCAATGGTAGATTTCATATGTTTTCTGCGGGAAATCATTCTTGCCTCCAGTTAGCAAATATCTACAGGACACTTGAAGAGCTAAATGCTTCTCTTTTAGAAGCTAATTATACAGCAGAAGCAATGACTATAAATAGTGAGATGTAAAAGAAAGCAAGTTGATGTCCGTTAATTTAGTCAACTAATTCTTCCATGACTCAGGCAACCATAATTAAATATATATATATATATATATTTCCATTTTAGAACCAATTTCCAAAACTTGGCCAATGTAAACACGAGTTGACTTTACGAGCTTAGCCAATTTTCCCAGCCTCCATCAAAGCCTATTTAATTTTTCATTAAAAATTAGTAACCACACGAACTAATCTATGAATGTAAGTAGTTTATTGCACGCAAATTCTTCTATCAAGTGTTGGCCAAGTCATTTTAATAATAAGAAAAAAAATCTGTCAAATAACTCAACAACATTTGAAGAGCTAGTATCCAATAATTTTTGGTAATATTAGTTAATATTTGATGTAACCACCTAACTCAGAAAAGAAAGTGAGGGGGAAATCTCTTGGGAAAATCATTCTAAGGTCCCGTGGAAGCAATTAAAATACACTAAAGTTCTATGAATTTATCAAATAGCTATCAGATCCCAAGGGACTTAAGGGTGAATAAGTCTGAAAATAAAATTACTAATTTGTCCTCTACCATTAAAAAGGAAATCTTGCTTGAACGCAGATCTCATGAAATTCATGATCAGCGAGACTGAAGATTGATGCATATCCATGATTATTGATCACGGTAGGATAATTTTCACTTCCCCATATCTATAATTACTGTCGTTGTCTTCATCTAAGCGAGGTGGGAGTGTTCATCCGCGACTGCAGTATTTCATCACGCGACAGAAAACAATACAGTGATTGTTGAGCGAGTAAACAATTTCTCATGCGTTAATGATTTCATTATTGTTTAAGGGTAGTCTAATGTTTTCTGGGTATGCCTACGATCATTTGATTTGCATAGCTAATGGGTACGAATTCATCTGGTGCGACATTGATACGTTGAAAAATATCTGATACGAATAACTCTACATGTTGTTAATAGTGTATTCTTGTGTTGTCAATATGCTATCGATAGTTGTCGATGTACTGTATTGTGCAGGATGACTTGTAAGAATGCTTATACCACCGGAAAACATGTATTATGTTATGTTTTTTTCATATAGAAGACATTTTATATAATATTCTCAAGCATGTGATGCAAGCTTCTTTTGTTAAAAAATCTCTATTATGAAATAACATTGCTTCTTGTCAATAATGGATAAATGAGTTGACATTATGCTGTGTATAGTTACACTGTGTGTGGTGTTGGTTGACCTGTAAGATGGCAAGTTCTTCTGGAGAATATATATTATATTTTTTCCATATAGGGAACATTTTCAAAATTATGACCAAGGAAATATGCAATATGTTGAGGGGAGTGTTAGAACAAGAATAATAAAGGAATAGACAACGTATGAAGAGTTGACAAGAATGATATCATCAAATGAGTAGCACATACATGCTCTTGTTTAACATGGCAAATGAGTGGAATACCTTGTGTGCATGCATGTGCAGCAATCAAGCTAGTTTATGGCAATGTGTATAATTTTGTGGATGAATGTTACAAGTTTACTGCTCAACAAAAGATATATGCCAACAACATGAGGCCGGTAGTCATACATGACTATCCATGTCCATAAGCATTAACGGTGACAAATTTATTAACCCAAACCTGATTGAAGCTACCAATGACTATAAGGCCTTCGAGTAGGCCAAAGCGTAAAGGTAGGGAATCTTAAATCCAAAACAAAAGGATTTATCATTGTGCAAGATGCTATGAAACTGGTCATACCTCCAAGACTTGCAAAAATTTTAATCCATGCTAGAAAATATCAGAGACAAGTATACTTTTTTGTTGATGTATTTGAAATTTATTTTTTTATTTATTGCACCTAATGTATCAGCACTTGTCAATGAAGAATGCATAGCTTGGCAATGAAGTGATAACTTGTAATCAATGGCTAATGGCAAGTAGTCAGTCGGTTCTTGTAACTGGTTAATTTTTAAAGGGAATTATTGCACTTAATGTATCAGCATTTGTCAATGAAAAATGCAAAGCTTGTCAATATAATGATAACTTGTAGTCAATGGCCAACGGCAAATAGTCAACGGGTTCTTGTAACTGGTTAATTTTTAAAGGGAATAACAACACTTAATGTATTAACACTTGTCAATGGTGAATGCATAGTTTGTCAATATAGTGATAACTTGCAGTCAATGGCCAATAGCAAGTGGTCAACAGGTTCTTATAACTAGTTGATTTTTAAAGATGTTTATTGCATATAATGTACCAGCACTTGTCAATGGTGAATGCATAGTTTGTCAATATAGTGATAACCACTTCTCAATTGCCAACAGCAAATAATCAACTTGTAACTTGTTGATTTTTAAAGGGAATAACAGTACCTAAAGTATCAGCACTTGTCAATAGTGAATGCATAGCTTGTCAATATAGTGATAACCACTTGTCAATTGCCAACGGCAAGTAATCAACAAGTTCTTGTAGTTTGTTGATTTTTAAAAAGAATAACAGCACCTAATGTATCAGCAATAGTCAATAGCGAATGCATAGCTTATCAATAAAGTGAAAACCACTTGTCAATCACAGTTGGCCACTTGTCAACATTTAATTAATAAAACAAACTATTTGCCACATTTACAAATTTATAATTACCATTCATAATAACATTGTTTAAGTTAACTACACGAAATAGGCTAACTATATAAAAGGACATGATTATCAATAAAGTTATATCCTAAAGTTCTATCAATAATCTTCTATTTCCTGTTCTTCCTTTCCTATGATCTTTCTAACAAGGGCATGGCTTTGTGCTCCTTCATGTTGTTACAATGACTCAATAGCCACCACAAGAATTCTATCTTCTTCTTATAGAGGTCATCCTGCACCACAAGTCATTCTTATGAGGTGTAACAGAGATTTTGCAATAAAAGAAGCTTGCATCACATGCTTGAGAATATTATATAAAATGTCCTCTATATGAAAAAAAAACATAACATAATACATGTTTTTTGATGGTATAAGCATTCTTACAAGTCATCCTGCACAACACAGTGCATCGACAACTATCGATAGCATATTGACAACACAAGAATACACTATTGACAACATGTAAAGTTGTTCGTATCAGATATTTTTCAACGTATCAATGTCGCACCAGATAAATCCATATCCATTAGCTATGCAAATCAAATGATCGTAGGCATACCTAGAAAGCATTATGCTACCCTTAAACAATAATAAAATCATTAACGTATGAAAATTGTTTACTCGCTCAACAATCACTATATTGTTTTCTGTAGCGCGATGAAATATTGCAGTCGCGGATGAACACTCCCACCTCGCTTAGATGAAGACAATGACAGTAATCATAGATATGGAAAAGTGAAAATTATCCTACCATGATCAACAATCATGGATATGCATCAATCTTCAGTCTCGCTAATCATGAGTTTCGTGAGATCTGCGTTCAAGCAAGATTTCCTTTTTAATGGTAGAGGACAAATTAGTAATTTTATTTTCAGACTTATTCACCTTTAAGTTTCTAGGGATCTGGTAGCTATTTGATGAATTCATGAGACTTTAGTGTATTTTGATTGCTTCCATGGGACCTTAGAATGATTTTTCCAAATCTCTTTACGATCATATCTACGTAGGTTGCTTCGTTTGAGCGCAGTTAATTTCGCTTGCATTTCTTCTCTAAGACTTTGATGGTCACCTACACATTATTGCATAATTCTGTTTCACCTCTACAACCCGCAAGCTACTTGAACATAGATGAAGTTAACTAGCTAACGATGACTTTGATAGAAACTCAAAATAATTAAAATGATATATTATTACTCAAATATAAAAAATCCTTTAGAGCATTTCTAGTAACAATCATTTGGCGCTCAACAACTGAACTCTCTATCGTGCCCAGTGCTGCAGAAATTACAAACTCTCCTGTGGAAGGATCATTAATGCATGCCTTGTGCCATTGAATCCTTCTAAACATCAATAAAGTGCACAACTCATCAGTGAAACAGGTTCTGATGCCTGACATTTTCAGACGTAAGAATGGCATTTTGCTGACATCATCAACAGATCATTTAACATTATGTGCACATATTCTGTCCTTTTGTTCATGATTCTCGAGGTCCTCGCATCCTGTCAACTATGTGCTTGCTCTTCTCTCCAATATGACGCTTCTTTTCCTCAAACTTCTCACTCATCTTCCTCCGCAGATCATGCATCTTTTCCTTTCTCCCCATCTTCTTTGGCCTGGTCACATCCATAGTATCTTGTCTCTCCAACAAATTACCTCTCATCCTGGGTGTTGACGAGGACGAGCTATCCCCCATCTTATGTTCACTACTGTCTTGTGACCTAAAATTCTGTAACAAAGATGGTCTAAGTTCTCCCACGTCCTTAGTTTCTTGAGGTTTAACCTTCTCAATAGAAGGCAAACCCAACTCTTTCAAGTCTCTTGTTTCTTGTGGTTTTTCTTTGTCCTCCAACGATGGTGTTATCAATTCTTCCACACTACCTGGTGTACGGAAGGAACTTGATCGGACTCCACAAGCATCTATTGATTTGTTTGCTGGTTCTTGATTAAATTCAGCATTTTTTGGCTTTTTTTGATCATGCTCCGGATTATCAGTTGAGGTCCTTGCACTAGCTCCAACTGAATTGGAAGTCTCGATTCCAGATGTTTGGTTAGACCATATGAATGGAGCAACATTAAAAGGAACCCAGTCGTCTTGTTCTGCTTGCATGAAAGGGATGCAGATGCATTCACAATTTGGGAGCACTAAATTTTCCCGGATTCCCATCTGCAAGAGTGAAACTAGATTTAGTCTCAGTTAAGGTTTCCCTAATCCTTTCCCGAAAGATAAATTTGAAGCACATTAGTGGACAAGAGATTCAGGATATCAGTCATCCGGAATTTTTAAATGTATACATACAAATATGTACAAAATATAAGGCTTCTGCCAGAGAAAAGGACAGGTTTTAAGGAATAAAATCTCTCTAATATATATTGCATAGCTACCCTTTCCTCTCTGTCATTTTAGAAAATAACATTCTCCTTTTACGTAAAGAAAAGAAAGAAAGAAAAAAGAAAATAACATTCTCCATGTTCTAAATTTCTGATCCTAACATCAGATCTTTCACATCCATATCAGAGTGGAAAAGGCTGCAACTGCCGATCAATTTTTCATGATTATCATAATTTATGTGCACGGCAATGCTATATCTTTTCAAAAATTCTAAATTTTTCCGATGAATATATTCCTCTGAGTGTAATTTTTCCCTCGTTCGTGTACAACAGGAAAAAACAAAGTAAAGAAGTTCAATGGTATGACCTGGTATTAACAAAAACAATAATCTAGAGCCCCATATTGAAAGCAAGGTTAACCTTTCGGAATGTGAGGGAAAAAGCAGAACTTCATTGAAAGGCCAAATAATCCAAAAGCTGGAGCCATTTCAACTTCCTTTCTAAATAACTACATGCATTTACTGATGAAATATATATGAATTATCTGTAACTAAAGTGAAAGGCTATTTGAAACTTGATAATCCTAAACAACCACTGCAAAGAGAGATATTTCGATTATTTTAAATCATACAGAAAAAAATCATATACCTTCAACAGTTTGACCAAGAAAGAAGCAGCATGTCCATTGGTAATCTTGCGATCCCCAATATATGACTCCAGGTTGAAGTCCATATCAGGCATTGATGTGAAACCAAACCACAATTGATCAGATGGAGGTGGCTTTATGTATACACGCAATGTGCCTCTGAGGGATGCTACCCTTACTGCCAAAGAGAGAGGTACCTTTGCAACAAAAAACAGTCAGTTACATCAAGAGTAACAGTTTAAGTTGTTCGCAACTTGATGAGCCGAAGGAACAATAAAACATCTGCAAGATATCAAATATTTGATTTGTGTCTCCATGAACATATATCAACATTTTTTTAATACTCAAGCTTTCTAGTTTGGCCCAAAAAAAAAAAAAAACTTTCCAGTATTGTGCTTGTTGATTTGCTATTGTTACATATAGCCATGGACCCCAAGGTGTAGAAAGACATCATATTCCGTTTATATATATGTAGAGAGAGAGAGAGAGAGAGATCATATTCCAAACATTGTAAGTCTCTTTAAGACTTGATGACATGCAAAATGTGACTACTGTAAATTTATATTATGACAATTTAATGGAAAAGTTTATATTGTGGCTGGGAGAAAAGTATGATATTTGGACTTTAAATTATATTAAGTTATCTTTTCTATCTTTCTTTTTTGTCTACCAGCATTCGAACTTGTGCCCAAGTGCCTCACAGTCGAGCAATGAACCACAAAGCCAAAAGTCAGCTGGTAATATAAGCTTCTAGCAGCTGTTTAGACTGTCAGCCTGCAATTCTCTCGTTTACTATTATTGATTTGTTTTTACTATATTCTCTCAATCATCTTCCATTACACTCCATTAAAACATATACGTTTCCAATCTTGCCCCCATAATCCATCAACAGCTAACAGCCACTGCTATTTCCATTTCACCAGCTGACAATGAAATGAGAGTAAACTTCCAGAAAATTTTACCACACCGTAACCTTTTTTACATGCCAAATACTGAAAAAATCTGCCCAAAATCCTTCAGGACAGTAATTCACAATAGTATGTCAATGACAGCAAATCATAGCCCCAAAATGTTATTGCAAGCAAAGTTAATATTAGAAGTCAGGATTGAGCACCACAATACCTGATAGGACAGAATAAAAAATTGGATGAAACATTATCAAACGATGAGTAGCAGTTCAAGGATTCCAAACATGCTATTCAACTTGGGATAGATGTGATAGGAAATATAGAGGGATCAACCCATTTCAGACAACCAGATCATACCGTTAAAAAAGGATACATCCAATATCAGACAAAAGGCTTCCAAAGCTTTAAAAGGAACAGAAAACTAATTAAAAAGTAAAAGAGGGAATAAAATAAAGAGAGAGGTTAACCTGCGAAACATGTTTGGCAACAGAATTTAACATAGACTTCCATCTGGATCCAGAGCTTGAGGAACATGAAGAGCTCCTAAAGCTCTTAGATAGGTCTGCAATACAAATTAAAGCAAAAATAGCATTGATAACTTCTCAAACGACTACAGGAAGTTACTAACTTTGATCTCTCAGATTCTCTATTCTTTTATTCTTCTTCTATTAACCTATCTCTGGACTCTTCTTTTCACTATCAATGGCAGATAGCAAGTAGCAGCAACTATCCTTGGGCGAATCAGATTGGCATAGAAACAGAAGAATACACAAAGTAATTGGTTTATAAAGCAAAACAGGACTTGTAACTTCTCAACTGACTGTAGGAAGTCACCAGCTAGAATTCCAAAAACAGTCAAAGAAATCGTCAATGTAAGACTCACCCATGTAGTTTCATTAATCCCATTTTTATGAAATAATATTTAACATGGTCTAGTAAGTTGGCAAAGCATCACACAAATAGAACAAGCACAAAACGTTGGATTTGATAAGATTCATATACTAACCAATATTCACATCGCCATCTTCCTTTGGCTCTTGTAAGTCACTGGTACCTTCAGTGAGGTTCAATTGTTTTCCCAAATATTCAAAACCCTCAAGAAAATCTGCAGGGACATCCCCAACATTGCCTGAATCCAGATTTGAGTCCTCTATCTCTTTATGGACATCTAGTTCACCAACTTCTAGCCTTGTTTCAATCTCTAATAGCGCACCACCAGCATATTCAATGTCAACTTCTAAGGTCCATACCTCACTCATTTCCAAAGGAAGAACCCTCACTCCCATGATACAAGGAGGAATATTTCCAGTACTTAATTCTGTCAAGATGACTTCACCAATATAACTGGGAGTTCTCATACTAGACAATTGTTTCTGTCAACAAACAGAAACAACCAGCATTATTTCATAGTATCCATGATAGTGTTAAGTTTACTGTAGGGTGGCAAGCAAATTGAAAAGCACGTTTGCAGAAACAATCTCCAATCCCCCCTTCAAATTCATACAATCTTGACACCAACAACCTGATCATTACCCTTTCCTTGCATTCATCAAGCTTAAAAACATTAAAACTACAATAGTGTCACTTATACCGACCAACCAAGTGGGGTATGCTTCATCTAGTGAAGCAGTCGAACTAACTCCATGGATGTATTTAAAAAATAAAAGTCTTCCATAATTATAATGTAATCAGCTTAACAGATAAAGTTCAGCTTGTATCTATAACCTTAATTTTCTGGACCATCTGAAAAGGCTAAAAAACTCAAACTGGATTACAAGAGGGACATAACAACCTTTATTCAAATTCCAAATTTGAATAAGAATTACACTTCTACTTAGTAACTAGCAAATCAACCCCCTCCCCCCTTACCCCAAAAATAAATATTCTCAAACTCATCAATATCATATGGGAAAACACCTGAATCTTTGCTTGAAAAAATCTCTTCAACTCTGCACTGCCTTTGGCATCAAAAAAGAGACGAGAAATTAACAGGTTCCAACATAATGTTCCCTCATCAATACCAATCTTCTCGACAGAATCAGCAGCAGACAAATGACTCTGGCTTTCTGAACAGGATTGGTTTGAAGATAATGGTGGAGCATTGTCTTCAGTAGAACTCTTACAATGCTTTGCTGAAGCAGTTTTCATCAAGTTAACAGATGCAACTGAATCTTTACAAGCATGAAGCTTCTCACTGTTCTTTTTTTCTTCACAGCCTGACAATGAAGACCAAGTTGATTTATTATCTAGACTAACTCTGGAAGTCTTCCTTGACAATTTCCTCAAAAATTGACGAACTTTTGAGTGACCACTATCAGGCTTAATGACCCTATCTATTGCTTCAACACTTGATCCTGCCGATGGTTTCATAAATGAAGGATATTCAGCATTTAAAGATATCAGATAATATGAAACTCTTCATGCAACTGGGAAAACCATTTTAATTTTTCATTTTGATCACAAGAAGCCAGACGGAGGGCCATACACCAAGATTCTTTCTCCCATGAAGTCTCAAGATATATGTAAAGGATTTTGCTGCCATTGTATATTGCAGAAGAACTTTCAACTTTGATGGGGAGCTTCTTTGCCCTATAAAACCAATCACCATTCAGATAAGAACATGGAAGCACCCATTTTCCTCAATAAATGTGCAAGCAATAAAATTTATCTATCCAGTATTATTTGATCGATTACTCCCATAAACTAACTATGACAAGACAAACTTCTAACAAAAAAGTATGCAAGCACAAAGATATTAAGATTTCTCCATATTAAGTTAAAAAGAAACACATTGTCAACCTTCTTTAAAGGTGAATCGTTTGTTGAATCAAAAAACTACACCTGTCAAACATATCTTCCTCTTAAACTGAATCTACCATAACTAGTCTTTGATCGTGTTTCAATGAATTGTCATTCTTCATGATGATAAGATCAATGGATTCACAAATATTCCATGCTGCCACTCGATTAAACTGTACTTGCCAGACATTAGTTGTAGGTGATGGTATAACATTTAATGTTTGTGAGTTTTTGCAGCTTTCAGAATCCCCAGCCAGTCTTCATTCTATATCACATACTCAAAAGTTGTTGAAAAACCTCCCAGAAGTTGTCTTCTACAGTACAGCACTGAAGTCTTTTAAAAAACAAATTCTGTTTCTACATAATGAAAGACTTAATTGGAAATTAACAAACAGCGAATGTTTGAATGACTAAATATTCCAAAACTGAAGTTCAAGAACTACTGATAGTTTTTGATGTTTCTTTATTAAATATTATGAATTTTTTCTTTAAAAATTACTCATTTATAATCTCTAGATAATTAATTTAGACAGTCCAAAAACATAGTATATGTTCAGATAATCATTCGATTTCTAATACTCTACCTAGCCAAAAGCCATCTTCACATTTGGATGGGTTTGGGACTTTTACTCTGCTAATTCCACTATCTCCCGGTCCATTGGGCGTGCAAAGAAAGTGTGCTCACATTTACATTAAATCTAATGTCAGATGTATTGGGCTAAACAAAGAAAGTAAAAATTTCATTCTTTGAAATAAAATGGTAAAATAAAAAATCCCTGAATCCTGACCACCCTCTTCTTGGATGTTACCAGAGAATTCCAACAAAATAAGAGCAGCCAATAAGGATGAGTTGGAAATCATGTTACCATTTTTTTGAAGAAAGACTTGTAGAAGAAACGGCTTCAACTATGCAGCCCTTTAGCTGAATAGTTGTACACAATCCATCAGTTTCTGTCAGAATAAATGATTGGTCGGTAATTTTTCCATACTTTTTAACAGGAGAAACCACCACAAATTCTTTTTTTCTTTTTTGCTCTCTTGATGTTCTGTCAAGCCAGACTTTTGAGATTTTGTTGTACTCTAGAACCCAAACCACACCCTGAAAGATGAAAAGGAAAGGCAATTCAAAAGAAATCCACAAATACTTTTTGTGTGAACATTTTACAAGCAGAAATAAGGAACATTAGAAAGATCAGTGAAAAATGAGCATTAATGGAACTAAAAAGTGATTAGCGTGATTAATAAAAGGCTGAATGCGGAAGCAGCATGTGTGAGACTTTAAAAATTCAGATATTCTTCCAAATAAAGTTTTCATCGATTGCCAATGCTCTATCTCTATGTAAATTTGTAAGAATGGTTCTTTTCAAGGTATTACATTTGCAACTATGCTACGTGTATTGCTTATCATTACAGCAAGGGATGTCATTGAGCCATGATAATGTATTGCAATTCAGGCATGTCCATCAACATGTTTCTTCTCTTAAGTGAAAACTACAAGATACAGATTACAATTTGACAACTATCTATGCATGGTACAAATTACAATTTGTCAAAAGGGAGCATGCTTCAAAAAATGTCATATCCAAAGAAGTTGAAAATCATAGTGTGCAAATATTGTAGCCTTAATGATAGGTTTATTGGTCACATCAATACAAATACTTATTGATGCTTTAATTTATGATCAAGTTGACAAGAATATCATGCAAAACACTAAATGCAATAAAAACTAGACGTTGAATAGTTGCATAAAAACAGACAAGACCTTACGTCTTCAACTCAAGGCATCTTTAAAGTGAATGTAACAAGTCATGCTCATATATGGTTGCTGCTAAGTCAAACGGAGGAAGTAATCCTAGTCCTCTAGAAACTAGATAGTTTCTCTTTGGTTGTGATTGAAGCGTGTAAAGTATATCCTAAGGAATGGCACCATTTTAATAATTTAACTATGACTATTTGATTTCAAGGGTAAAGTGGAGTAGAAGGAAAATAAAATTGTAACATGATCGTCAGGTTTCGGCAAGAATAACTGACTGACAGCTTGGCGCTCTACCAATCCTTTTTTGTTTTGCCGTTTTAAAAGTTTTGAATATTTTCTGGCATCAAGGTAAAAATATTGCGAAAGCATAAAAGCTCATATTCAATATTAGAAAGGATTATATAACCTGTTCAAAACTGCAGCTTAATAACGCATGCAACGATACAGAATATATCATTCTAAAACAGAAAACAACATAAGAATAAAAGTTCAACCTAGGCAAACAGTAAAGTAGTTTCAAACCGCAATTAAAGCATCATGGTAATCCACGTTTTGAGATAATCTTAGCAAAGGCAACATATAAAAACATAATGTCTTGAGGGAAAAAAAAAATTTCTTTTCTCTTTAACCAAATTCAAGAACTATTAAAGTTTGCTGATTGCTAGAGGTTTTGCTCATGATCAAAAGAATTTTTGTTGGCCACGCCATTTGTTCAAGATTACCTGTTTCTTAAATGCTGAACTAAGAGATTGTTGGGTATCAATTTCCCGGCCCCCCACGAGAAATTTCGATTCGCCACGTTTCTTGATCTGGCTTCCCATCAGTTTCACGATCCATAACACACTAAGAGCTTCAGCAGAAACAACCACCACCACCCCGAGGATAAAACCAATGAGTATCAAACCAAAACCAAAACCATTTCAGCCCCAATGTGGTTTTCAATGGAGCTATCTCTTCGCGATAAATGAGATTCACGAGCTGAGCGAAGATGAGGGATTGGACGAACGACTACAAACCGAAAACAACAACAATGATGCAGCCGTGAGGGAGATCATTGTGAGCAACAGAATAGCATGTGTTCCCAAATAATTAAGGAATCAAGAAACGAAGGTGCCAAAGAATCAGATGCCATCTATGCGTGTTACTTTCTTTTTTCGTCAAGGACACTAAAAAGCTGGCTCACCGAGAAGATGAAGAGAGGAAACGAAGCGTGCTGTGAAAACACAACGATAACGGCTAGGCATCCGGTCATCTTAATTCGATGGATTTTTTTTATTTTAAAAGTTTTTTTTCTAAAGGTTAATATCGACTGTATCATAATATATCTTTATGAATATAATACACACACACTATTTATAAATGATAATTAAATAAGAAAACTTATTTTAGGTTTTTTTAAAAATTGTAAAGTTTACTCTAGTTTGCATATCTATGTTTTAAATTGTGAATGATAAATCCAATAATCATATATAATTTATTTTTTAGACTCTAAATAAATATACCGGCCCATTTATATTAATATTAACTTAAGGGGCTGATATGGAAGGGATGGTGATTTAGTGGTGTCTCTCTTTCTCCCCTTGGTACCTCATTTGCATTTGGGCTGTTATTTTTCGGCTTATTTGGTTTTTTTTAATTAAACATTCAATTTGTAATTAGGTATAATTATCGGTCCTTATAATTTCATTGGCTTTCATTTTTAATCCTTATAATTTTTTTCAATATTTTTATTTCCCATAATTTTAGAAAAATTAATTAATGTTTATTTCTTAAGTTTCTATAGTTTTAATTTTTTAATGTTTTTAATAATTAAATTATGGAGATCAAAAATTATGTTTTCTCCTGTACATAAAACTCCTGTTGTTTACATTATTGTAGTTTTTATTTATAAATATAAATTAGCACTTGTTTTCAACTTCTATCAATATTTAATAATTTAAATTACTTATTTTCAATTACATCATCATCATCGTCATCGTCATCATATATATACACATACATGAATAAGACTTGATGTTTAACATGTGACTCGTGGATGGCCATGTTGGGCTCAGGCCTTGTGACTCTGACGCAGAGCAATAAAGCCACCATCAAAGAAACAGCAAAACGAAAAAACAAAGAACCCTCAAGTATTGTGTTTTCATGATCTAGAAACAGAGCAAAACAGAGGAGTTCTGTAGAAAAGGATAAGTGTTAGTATTTTTAAAAAAATAAAAAAAGGCCACAATGATTACATGCAATGGCACTACCCTCGTCCGTTCACACGACTTGCACCTTGACGCACAAACCCGCCCGGGATGACTGGGATCTCTGTGGGTTCAACTTTCAAGAGTCAGGTTTCGAGCGACCTGAGGCCAACCTCCATCACCTTCGACAAGAGAGACCTCGACTAGCTCAAGAGCATCGCCCTCGACACAAGTCATCATCCACGTCCTTTGACGTCCCTGCCACTTACATGTGGAACACGTTCATGGTGCGGTGTGCCCAGAGCAGAGCGAAGGAGCTTGAGGAGAAGGGAATGAGGTAGGGGTTGGGTCTGGTGAAAAGGGCAAGAGAGCAGAGTTGTATCCGAGAGAGAGGGAATGAAGGCGAGAGAGAGGAGAGAGGGAGGTTGTGACACTGTGAACCATCACTTGACTGACCAGCAACAGAGCAAAGGCCTTACACTATCAATGCATTAGTGTCGTAAATGCAGAAGGTTTTGTCGTCGTACTCATCGAGCTGGATTCTAGCATGTAAAAACGATGAAGAAAAACAGTAGTTAGGTTCCATATCAAGCGCATCAGGACCATAGAGAGGGAGAGAGGATAAAGGAGGCGTACTGTACTGCGACGGCTTTCAGTGCCGACAACAAGAACGAAAGCGATGAGGTGGAGGGAGGCGACGGTGGCTAGAATTGGAACCGAAACGGCCATCATTTTCTCTCGCTTTGTGCCTGCTTCTTCACTCTCTCTCTCTCTCTCTCTCTCTCTCTCTCTCTACAAGTTGCAAAATGAACAAACCACCTCGCTCGCTCGCTCGCTCGCTCCCGCTCCCCCCATGTAAGCTAGCTTAGCAAATTGCGGGCCCCACTAACAATACTGTTAGACAAGTTAACAGCAGATTGACAAAGCAAAAAATCTAAGAATGAAGGATATAAATAAGGGAGAAGGACAGATCTGTCAAAGGATGAATTTTATCCAAAACATTTTAAAATATCATTTAAGTCTCCAAACATTTTAAAATATTATTTAAATCCCATAAGTCTTTAGGAGGCTATATGAGCAATGTTAAAATTGCTTTAAAGCCTGCATTAACCATGTTAGAAGTTTTGGACTTTCCTACCTCATTTTGATATCTGAATTGTCATATGTGTCTTAGATAAAAAAATTTCGCAATCCTATAAACATGAGCATGTAGAGAAGAGAAGAAGCTTGAGAGAAAATTTTATTGTACTCGATCGCACACAAGAAGAGATTAGGGAAGTCATGGATATGGTTAACAAAAGCACAACACCAAACTCTATCACACCTTAAAATATTTTACTAAATTCTAACAATAGTTTGTAAAGTACTGGAAAGAAAAAAATTTATTGAGACTCAACATATCATATCATGTCAGCCTTCATTAGCATTTGTTGACAAAGAACTAGGTATGTGGGCTTTTTTTGACTAGTGTGTTTAGATATGGTTTTTTTTTTTTTTGCAAATTCTTGGAGTCTATTCTCCATTATAGTTTTCTTCTTGCAAAATGACACCCATGAACAAAAAAAAAAGGCTTTTTGCAATTGAATGTAAAAGTTTTTTTTTTTTATTTCACATTTTTAAAGATTTGACATGAAGATTTAACATTTTACAACTGAAAGTGTAAAAATTTATTATCAAGTATCCACATTTTAAGATGGAACATTGTCACTTATGCAAAAATCACTAATGCAAAAAGTAATTTGTTTATGAATCATATATTATAACATTTTATTTTGCTTGTTTTAGGTTGATGTTAATGGATACGATAGAAAATAGTTGTTTAAAGGAAATCTTTTATTATTTTCATTTTGATGGAGATATTGTAAAAGATATACATAAGACAATGCATTATGATAGGAGGAGTTGTAATGGAAGAATAATCAGAGAAGGAATGTCTCTTGAAAAATTAGTTGGATTTCATCATGCTTGAATTGTGATTTAAATGGAATAGAGTTGATGCTTTTATGTATGTAGACAACTGATATCTGGAAAAGCATTAAATGAATTGATACATGTAACTTATATGTACATTTCATATATTCTATGATCATTAAAAGTGTTTTCTTTTAAAATTTTGAATAGAGGTTGCAAAGTATTTATAAAGTAGTTGCAAAATTAGGTATTTCAGTTGCAAATTATTGAAGCGATTCTTTAGAATAATAACTTGGTTTCTTTGCAAGTTCAAGAAGTCAACGTGTTTTCAATTAAAATTGTGAAAATAGTTACAAAGTATTTGTAAGTAAGTTATAAAATTGGATACTTCGATTGCAAATTACTAGATCTATATCTTAGAATATTAACTTGGTTTCTTTGTAAGTTCAAAAATTCAGCAAAGCATTTTTTCAATTAAAATTGCACAAAAGGAGTTGCAAATTTATCCTAAAGAAGTTTTAAAATTGGGTATCTCAATTGCAAATTACTGGTACTATCTCCTAGAATAATAATTTAGTTTATTTACAAGTTCAAAAATTCAATAAAACATTACCAATTAATTTATTCCAAAGAAGTTGCAAAATTAGGTATTTCAATTGTAAATTACTAGAACTATATCCTAGAATAATAATTTGGTCTCTTCACAAGTTCAAAAATTCAATAAAGTGTTACCAATTAAAATTGTTAAAAGGAGTTGCAAATTTATTCCAAAGAAGTACCAAAATTGGGTATTTCAATTGTCAATTACTGAAGTTCTCTCTTAGAATAACAACTTGATTTCTTTGCAGGTTCAAGAATTCAACGTGTTTCCAATTAAAATTGTCAAAAAGTAGTTGCAAAATATTTGTAAGTAAATTACAAGATTGAGTATTTTGGTTGCAAATTACTGGATCTATCTCCTAGAATAATAATTTGGCTGCTTTTCAAGTTCAAAAATGTAACAAAGCATTTCAATTAAAATTGCAAAAAGGAGATACAAATTTATCTCAAAGAAGTTGTAAAATTGGATATTTCAGTTGTAAATTATTAGAGCTATCTCCTAAAATAATAACTTGGTTTCTTACAAGTTTAAAAATTCAATAAAACATTATCAATTAAAATTGCGAAAAGGAGTTGCAAATTTAACCCCAAGAAGTAAAAAATTGGGTATTTGAATTATAAATTACTAGAACTATCTCCTAAAATAACAACTTGATTTCTTTGCAAGTTCAAGAATTCAACGTGTTTCCAATTAAAATTGCAAAAATTTGTTACAAAGTATTTGTAAGTAAGTTGTAAAATTAAGTATTTTGGTTGCAAATTACTGGATCTATCTTCTAGAATAATAACTTGATTGCTTTGCGACTTTAAAAATTTAGTAAAACATTTCTAATTAAAATTGTGAAAAGGAATTCCAAATTTATCCCAAAGAGGTTGCAAAATTGAGTATTTCAGTTATAAATTACTAAAGCTATCTCCTAAAATAATAACTTGGTTTCTTTACAATTTCAAAAATTTAATAAAATGTTTCTACTTCAAATTTTGAAAAGAAGCTGCAAATTATTTATAAAGGAGTTACAAATTTAGGTATCTCAATTGCAAATTACTGAAACTATTTCCTAGAATAACAACTTGATTGCTTTGCAACTTCAAGAATTCAATAAAATATTTCCACTTAAAATTTTGAGAAGAACTTGCAAATTATTGTAAGGGAGTTGCAAATTTAGGTATTTCAATTGCAAATTATTGAAGCTATCTCTTAGAATAACAATTTGGTTGCTTTGCAATTTCAAGAATTTAATAAAGTGTTTTCAATCAAAATTTTGAAAAAGAGTTGTAAATTATTCATAAAGGGGTTATAAACTTAGGTATCTCAATTGTAAATTACTAGATCTATATCCTAAAATAGCAACTTTATTGCTTTACAACTTCAATAATTTAATAAAGTATTTTCACTTAAAATTTTAAAAAAGAGTAGCAAATTATTCGTAAGGGAGTTACAACTTTAGGTATCTCGGTTGTAAATTTTGAGCTTTTAAATAGGGAGTGCTAATTGTAAATCCTTGTGAATAATAAAGTTATTTTTTTATTTCAATCTTCTATATTAAAATTGTGATTCCAAATTAAAAGTGGGAATATTACTTGCAAATTTAGAAACTATTAGTTGCTAATTTGATAGAAGTTATTGCAAACCCTGACCAATTCATTTATCTTAAATTTTTCATGTTAAACTTTTTATTCCAAACAAAAAATGGGAACATCACCTGCAAATTAAGGAACTTTAAGTTGCAAATTCAAGAAAAAGTGTATGCAAATCGTTGGTACGTACGTGGCATCAGTTTGATTAATTACAACACATATAAACATCATTAATCTTCATTTGGATTTTTCCCCCGCCCTCTTCGATCAGTTAATAACTACAATGGATGCAAAAAGTTCATCTGACTTTCTTCCTCTTATGATTAACCAGCTATCATAACACATCTAGTCAAAAACATCATTTTCACATTATTAAAGTTTATCAGCTTCTTCTCCAACTTTTGTTTGATTTACATCTACAAATGATAGATAATGACAGAGACGTAATTTCTCCAATTCCTCCCTTAGTTAAGTGAGGTAGATATAGTTTTCAAGAACATCGATTGATTGCTAAAAGAAAGATGCTAGTTACAACAATCACTCACAACAATTTCAATAAAGAGCACCCTGAAGAAAATCAAATTAATCATTTTCAATAAATATATTCTATTAACTATAATAACTCTAGTTGTAAATGTTACACAAAGTTTTCAATTTACAAAGTAGTAGCTTCAAATTCTTAAAAATGATCCTATAATTTGCAAGATTCAATTTTTCTTAAATTTAGAAAGTTTAGCTAAAAATGTTATCACATGAAATTGCAAATTGTTGAGTATCAGTTACAAATTCCTAAAAATGAGCACGTAATTTGTAAGATTTAATTTTCCTTCTTAAAAATGAAGTATGTATAATTGTCAATATTACTACACAAAATTAAAAATTGCAAAGTAGTAGTTGCAAATTGCAGAGGATGAAGTAATAATATGCAAGATTCAATTTTGTTCTTACGAAAATAGAAACTCCAACTACAAACATTACTAGAACAAAGTTACAAATTACAAAGTAGTAGTTACAATTCCCTTAGAATGATTTGATAATTTACAAGTTAAGATTCAATTTTCATTCTTAAAAACAATAATTTTGATTGCAATTTCTTGGAATTGATCCAATTATTTTAGAGTCAAATCTTTAAAAATTCAAAAACACTAAATAGAAAATGGCTTATATGATTGCAGCTCATATTACGAAAGTCTATTAGTATGCTAGAGAATTTAAAAAAAAAATAAGTCAATGAGAGAAATTTTCTATTAATTTATCAAGGCCAGTAATAAGCTCAATAATAAACAAGAACTTCAAACCTAAAGGAACTCATTGTTGCATTACATTAACCATTTGGCCAAATATATTCTTTCATTAAAAACCCAAGGATGAAGTCAAAAACAAAATAAGCCCGAAAGCAAATTAAACTAATTCCTACTCATTATTTTTGTCTCTTTCCAACACTTTACAAACTATTGTTAGAATTTAGCAAAATACCTTAAGGTATGATAGAGTTTGGTGTTGTGAGCATTTTTTGCTTTTGTCAACAATATCCACGTCTTTCTCAATCTCTCCTTATGCACAGTTGAGTGTGATAAAATTTTCTCTTGATCTTTCTTCTCTTCTCTGCATGTGCATGTTTATGAGATTGTGAAAAAATTCTATCTAGGGAACATATGACGATTTAGATATTGAAATGTGGTGGAAAAGTCTAAAGCTTCTAACATGATTAATGAAGGTTTTTAAGTAATTTTAACATTGCTCATATGGCCTCCTAAGAACCTACGGGATTTAACTAGTATTTTAGACTATCTTGAAACTTATCCTAAATAAAATTGACCCTTTGAGACTTATTTGTCATTCTTACTAAATAACTATAGCTAAGTTTAAAGTTATTTGTAATTTTCATCTTTCATATACAGTGTAAGAATAAAAATAACTCATAATTTTTATGAAAACATTGTAAACCACTTTAGATATTGAGTGAGAAAGGCCTTACGGTTATGGAAGGTGTGAATAAGACAGAAAATCAAGCATTTTTCTAATACTAGCCAAAATCACATTAAATCTCAACTATTCCAAATTGAATTGCATCAAGTGAAATTCTACATTGTTGATCCAGGTGATGCTAACATGCCGCCTAAGATAATGACCTCCCTTCTCTTTAATAAAAGGGGGAAGTACATATAAATTCCAAATTAAAAAAAAATAATTACCGTCAAATTTTAGCTACTTATAAGTATTGAAATTTGTCCTGTAACTAGGAATTGAAGAAATAATCGATTTCCAAATTTAGAATAAATTGCGTATGGACCAAAATAAAAGGGATTGCTCTCTGAATCAAAGATAAAATAGAAATCCGAAACTCTACATCACATTAGTCAACAAGTAAAAAGTCTAGATAAATTTAAGCACCAAAAAGTTAAAATCAAAGGAACCTCCAATCCAAATTCTAAACTCTTGCCCTCGTCAGGGAACTCGCAAAACAACCCAAAAAACAAACTCATTTTAAAAGTCCCACAGCAGCAAATTCTGTAACAGCTTGGACCTTGGGGATATTGACTAGCCTCTCGAGTTTCCGAATGGTACTCATCAGAATATGCTCCTAGTGGAATCTCCCATGCCGGTGTCAAAATGAATTTGGATCCTCCAAAGTAAAGTGCCTCTAGAGTGAGAAAACTGAAAAAGAACACCACACTAAGCAAGTGTTCAGCCACTTGACAAACTTACAACTTCCTCTCTTCCTATTTACTCCCTCTATCCTCTCTTATTTTAGGGACGCTTTACAAACTTACAACTTCAGAAAATCCAAATCCTGTCAAAGCCAAAAAAGGTAAAGCAGAAGGTCGGTGAGGTAGTTATGGAGAAATAAGCAATTCACAGAGAAGAGTGATATGTGAAGAAGTTGAAGTCATGGTGGTGGAAATTGAGCTGCTTCAACCATGAATCTGCAGCACGGTACATATCGGCTAGCCTTTCATGATCAGATGATGAATCTATGTTCAGCCATAGATCGCCCTGCATTTTGTAAGTGGCCAGTCCAAAAGGAGGCAGTGATATAAAGCCAGAGTTCTTAATCTCGCATTTCTCTCCACCAAGACTTCCCATGCTTTCCGAGCAGCATATGTCTTTCCCAATGTTTATGTTATTGTATTCCATTGCACAATCTGCAGATGCACGAGAAACTGTGATCAGAACTCGAATTCAGAGACTCATGCCCAAGTATAATTAAAATTTAAACATCTCATTTTATCCAAAAACCATGTCTCGTCTTTGTTTAGCTTTGTTGAGTTAGATAAAAGAACAAGTTTGTGCTCTCTCTGATAACTTTTTCAATAGCCACAAAGAAAAAATAAATTGCAAATCTTAATTACCATGACATCTTACACCTTAGTATATCTTGTAGTATAGTATTCGAGATACTAAGAGCAGCGAGACAACAACAGTGTACCAAATGGCTATTTACTTCTATTTCTCAGCACCCATTCAATATGTCACAAGTCACAATAGAACTAAAAGATGACATGTGGTTGATTACAAAGTGTTACAAATTGAGTGTCAGTTCCGGTATGCTTACTTAAACGTTATTTTCAATTCCAGAATACCAATTCTGAAACTCTTGAAACGACACTTGAAAACAATTGTGGAAACTGAAGCAAATATTCAGAACCCAGGAAAGATGCTATTGAGGTACATTTTACCTCCAGGTTGACTCAAGGATTACAAATGTGTTAGCTTACTTTGAAGAAAAGTTATCATAGAATATAAAAGGACAAATAAATACACTCAGATACCTTCAAAAGATGATGACAACGTATGGAAAGTGAGGAAGCATGCTGCCAAGTCCCTTTCGTTTTTCTGACTTGGTATGGAATAAATAGGGTACCTATTCAATGATAAAAAATCAAGATAACGAAGTTCAGAAAGAAATAAAAAAATTACGAGTTCAAGAACAATCGTATTTATATATTATAGAGAATGCCAAGGGAAGTAGAAGTTGAGAAAGAGAAGACTCTTCCCTACTTCAATTCTAAATCATCTAGAAACCAATGATAGTATATCGTCTTTAGAAATCAAAATGCAAATCAATTTAATCTTCTAATTGAATTCAAGATTACGACATCAGAGATATAGTTCACAGTAGCCACTTGTTATCAACTATACTTGCAATGTTGAGATGTCAGTATGCAAAAGTCTGATGAAAAGTAATTATAATGCTAATAAAAGAAGTGCTTTATTCTAAGCTCTATCTATGTATTACAAAAACAAGTCATTTAATCAAAAGTATTACAATAAAATCTTGTTTGTCAAGCATGTTAACAAGTGATGAGAACAACTAATCATTCTCAATTTCTCACCAAGCAATTGCCATCCAACTCGCTGGAGAAAGATCCACATTCTTCAGTGTCATTAATGCTGGATAGCTTCTTGCCAATTCAGTTATCTGAGACGAGAGATTATCAGTTATTTGTTTGGTGGGCTGCCACTTAAAGGAGGGCTAATTATACAAAGTGAAAAAAGCTACCTTGTCCATAAGTGGGACCCTCCAGTAAGGAGGAGACATCTCGGTGTACTGCAAGTAAAGGTAACCAAGCCCATCTCTTGGCCATGAACCCTCATGGTCACAGTTGGAATCCTCAGAAACTGCATCCCATGATTTGCTCGAGTTGTTACTCAATGATCGAGAAATGTTATCACTTCCACTATCATCGCTCCATGAATCACTTTCAAATTCGACAATCTCAGTATCCTCTCTCCGGACCCTAGAAAAACAGAAGGCTTACTTCACACTATTGCCACAATTAGTATGAAAAATACATTATATTTTTGTCATGAAAGCTATTTTTGTCATGCATCTTTCATCTCTACTTTAAACTAGTAAATAAAGGTGCAGGAATAGCTTGCATATAATTTCCCAGAAACTTTTTGACATACCTAGAAGCTGCAACAGACTTGTCACTGTAGATTTGGATGGCCGAAAGATACGGGACATAGTATTGCATCACGGTTTCACCATTTTCCAACCCAACAGGCGTGCCAGCACCATATGCACTCCATTCATTAAACCACTCCCAGAGATCTTTCAGTGTGAAGTATTCAGTTGTGTCCTTACCAAGAGGTTGCCACAGGGTATTTATGTCATTTAAGCAACTCTGCAATATATATGGTAAAAGAAAAGGAAAGTAAGGAAACAAATCAGCCAGCAATCAGCTGCCTATCGCTACCTATTTATGTCATATTTGAATTAAAAATAGAAAAATGAAAGAAAAATTAATCATTTAGTTTCTATAGTTTTGACCCTATTATAACTCAATTCCTAAATTTTGCTCAGTTCTTATAGTTTTTTTTGCTCAAAAAAACTTGGTTGTAATTCAGTTCTTGACTTTGCCTCTTGTATTTCAATTCATATAGTTTCAAGCACTTAAATATTAATATCTATATTTTAAAAAATAAAGTTATAAAGATTAAAGATATTTTAAACTTTTAATATTTATAATTAAAAAATTAGTAATAAATTTTAACATAATTTTAATCTTCATAATTTTATGTTTTAAGATGTAAGGACCAATCTTTATATGATTTAAAATATAAAGACTAAGTTACAAAAGTCAATGTTTAGAGATTAAGTTACAATCGAATCAAAACTTTAGAATTAAGTTATAATAAGTCAAAATTTAGAAAATGAATTACAATTGTATTAAAACTACAAAGTCCAAATGATTAATTTTTCGAAACATGAAAAAAGAAGCCTTGTTGGATCACAAATGTTGTATGCATGGCCAGAGACAAAACAAGCTTATCACTATCGCACCAATATTACAATAATAGCCATCCAAGAAATCACTTATATTAGAATTATAACTGATTCTGTGTACTTAAATTCTGGAAAAGAGCTTCGTTCACACCCACACACACACGTATGTGTGTGGGGTTCCGTAACTTGCAAGAGTCCAGACTAAGAGATGAGTCAAAGTTGGAAGCAATTGCCAATTCGGTCATGAACAACTGTAAGCACGAAGAAGCACAAGTTGCAAACCAGTGACTCACTCTCTAGAAGAACACAGACAAAATGGTCCCATCGAACTGTGAAACTTAGAATGTTCAAAGGAGAAATTCCCATGAAAACAAAAACCTTTTTCAGATGATGGGTGTCCACTCACATAAAGATAATTACTATTTTTTTAAAAGAAAATAAGTTTAGGTAGATAGAACCAATCTATATAAAACAAAAAGATTTACGTTCATCATAATGAGGCATACTGCATATCCATTATTTTAAGTCAACCAATCTATATAAAAATACAAAGACTTCCACCGATTTTTATAGAAATTTCTTGGACATCTCATTTATTTTCAAAACTTTCGATGAAACAAGAACAAATTATACAGAACTCTTTTTAATGATCAGGGAAGGAAGGAAGGTCTATCTATATTTTAAAAACAAAAGAAAGGCCCGTAGAATTCAAGAGAGATATGCACACTTAAATTCTGTTTTAGGGGGTTTTCAACAAAGAATCAATGGAGATTTGCATTGATTTTGAACACAGAAGCTTTTTTTTTAGAATTTCTACAAAATTATAGGGAGATAATGAGTATTTTTTAGTGTAATTTTAAAATTGAAAGCGTAATTTTCCCTTTTATATACGAAACTTCTGCACAAAACAATCATAATCATAACTAGTAACCAAAGTGTTCCCACGGACGGACCAAACCAATTCCTCTTTCAACATCAGAAGTGAGAAATGTGGAGCCGAAGAAACACGAAGCACTTATCTCATTAAAGCCATTATGAAATTATCTTTAGGTTAGGCGACTGCCCTGACCCACAATGCCAAAGGATCAAAATAATGGTTATGAAATCAAATCAAAATGTCAAAAGATTTCCCCAAAGAATCACTTTTGACCCAGTAAAAACTTTATATGCTTTCACAAAAAAAAAAAAAAAAAAAAAAGAATTCTTCTCAAATCTGGAAACCACAACGTTTTGTTTTCCTTTTTAGCCCCTTCAGCTTACCCGGGTGATTGAGAATAATCAGATCATCTTTAAATTTGTTTTATAGAACAGGCACGCAATTTGAGAATAAATAATATCACATTAATTATTTCGTTTATTTTGAGTTTATCTGTGTGAGATTTTTTTTACCTTATGCAGGCCAAATAGTGAGAGAAAATCAAGGGCATCTAAAGAGATATTCTCGATCTAAAGAGAGCCAGAGAAGAGGGGGGCCAGGAAAGGACAAAGGTTTATATATTGGGCCCAGTAATACGACTTCGTTTTAGACAGGCCCACTTCACATTATCCCATGTGCGTAGATTATTTAATATTTCCTACATCGTCAGGAATGTCTGACAAACAGCCTAACCCGAAGGATAAGTGCAAATATATACATATATATATAAACCCACCATATATGTTAGCAGGGAATGATATTTATATATTATAACCAAATTATAAATTTAAATTTAAATTTGTCTAAAAAAAAACACTTAACAATTTGGATGGAATTTATATCATTTAAATTTTGAACCATATTTTTGTTATATAATGACCATCCAGAATTAACTTAAGAATCCTAATAACTGATTTTCTTTGGCCTGAAAGTAACTGATTCAATATTAAATATACTCGTGAAAAGCATGATTACTTATTACTTATTCCTGGTGTCATTAGTTTTAATGTTAAATTAACTTCAGTAGCAATCTGTCAAATATCATAAAGATTACAAGAATCAACATTATAGTAGTGAAATAGTATCCCTTTAATCAGCCAATCAAGTTTATTGCAAAATCTTCTCCCTCTTTTTTCCAACAATTTTATTGGCAAAATCTAAAACAACCAAACAATAAAGTCTGTGAGAAGATTTTATCCCCACAAAATCTGGACTTAGTTTCCCTCCTCTCATTCTTCTCTCGTCTTACCCGCTTCTCACTTTCTCATCCGTTCAGATTTAATACTTTTGTATTTTATTTTATTTTTTATTTATTAAAATAAAAATATAAAAAATTAATAAATCTGTTCACACAATTTAAATTTAATATTATAATCGAAATTTACTATTAAAAATTTAACTAAACTATCCAAATATATGATATGATATAACATTTTTTCATTTAAAATGTAAAATATTTTTGAAAGAATTGAATATTAAAATATATAAAATATTTTTAATCTTTTAAAATATAATTATTTTTTTAAATATTTTATTAATAATGATTTTATATTTATTATAAAATGTTTAATAAAAATAAATATAAAATATAAAATTAATTAAAAAGTAAATAATCATGAGATATGAAATTTGATTAAAAATATTTTAAGAATGGTTTAAGAGAGTATAAATTTACTTTGAAAAGTAAAATCAACTTATTAAAAATTTGTAATATTAAATTTGAATTATTATTTATATTAAATCTGAATAAGTAAATTTATTAAATTTTTCTATAATTATATATATATATATATATTTTAATAAATATAAAATAATAAATAATATAATAAATTTGGACAGTTTAGTGCGGTGAGGTGGGATCTCGGCATTTTGCAGAGGAGGAAAGCCGAGTCGCAACATCTTAAAACATTTCTGGACATAATATAAAAAATAACAAATATAATAACACCAACAACAACAAAAATAGTAATAATTTCGCAGGCTTACAATCATATTTCCCCAATTCTGACTCTGCAAAGCAAGAAAAAGTTTTTTCTTTTTCAAAAACTTTCACTCTTTTGACAGCTGTGCCCAAAAAAAAACAAACAAACAATTTGAGGCAGAACGAGAGGGAAGAAAGATAAAATTAACTGAAAATAAATAAATCAGAGGGAAAAAGGGGAGGGAGGGAAAATACCTGAGGAAGAATTCTGGAAGCAACCGTCGGAGTGACAAAATGAAGAAAGCGCTCCAAATTAGAGAGAGAAGTCGCAGAACAACAAACGGAGTCGAGCGACGAGAAAGGAGAAGACATAATCGATCTGAGAAAGCAGAAGAAAATCCTCGCAGTCACAGAGCCGATCGCTGAAAATCGAACATCGGAACAATAGAAGGAGTCTTTCCGCAAGATATACGAGGATAACCGATGGTCTCAGGCATTGATTATGCAAATGCAAAATGAAGACTCAGTCAGGAAAATTGACGAAGTTTCCCCTTCAGTTGTTGTTTCCGAAAGAGGATAATCCAATCCAAAGGGAATGAATAGAATAAATAAGAAAAGCCCTCTCAGTTTCCGTTTCGAGAGAGATTGCAGCTCATTACAGAGTCGTTTTCCAAAAGAGGATTGCGCAGAGCTAGAGGGGGAGGAGGAAGAGGGAAAACGAAACGCTGTGTAGTTTCTGTTTGAGGAAGATGAAAGAGATGGAGTAAATGCAGGCAAGAATGAAACGGACTTTGGGGGGAGAGAGAGGGAGGGAGGGGGGAAGGAGAAAGAAGAGATGTGAGTGTTGTTAGTGGTGGTGTTGTTGGACTTGGAAGTGATGTTGGAGGCGAGGCGACGGTGCGTGAGTCTGTCTGTGAGAGTTCGCTTCGCCGCGTGTTATAAAAGGGTGAGTGTCAGTGTACGTTCGCCTGGCCTTGTTTGCTTCTTCTGGGTCTTTCTCCTCTCCCTCCTGCCTTTCGATGTTTTGGCTTCGATGTCCACCACGTGGCCTTTTCATGCTGCGTCACTCTTATTTTTCTTCGTTTCTTTTTTTTTAATATTATTTTTTTCTAATCTTTTCTACTTTATTTGATTGATTGCCGTTATTTATAAATTATTTTTAATGTATTTTTTATTTAAAATAAAACCGTGTGTGTTGGGTTTTCGAGGTTGGCCCAAGAACAAGTTGGATCTTCGAGGCATTTTTAATATATTTTATTAAAAAAATTTTAATTTTATTATTTTTATTTAAAAATTTAATAAATTTGTAATTTTATCCATATTAAAAACACGTACTTTAAAAATAAATGAAGAATGAAACTTTTAACCTTCGAAATTTACTTCACTAATTAATTGGGTCCATCAAATTTAATTTTTATTAATTTTATCTATTATATTTTTATAAATTATCATAGTACTATTTTATATTTTAAAATATTAATTGATATTGAAATTAATTTAATGTGTAAAGTATGTTGATAACTTAACATGTAAGAGGAATTAAATAAAATCAAATTAGCTCTTAGACTAATTTATTTTTTATCAATTCATTCTCTTATGTTGCATTTTGTTATTACGTTTTTTTAAAATTTTTTAATACTTTTTCAAACTTTATAATGTGTAAAGTATGTTGTTTAAAGTTTTTTAAGCATTTATTTTAATTAATTTCTACAATTATCATCAATATTATGTTATTATGTTAACAAATTTTAATAATACCTCCTAATAATGAAAATTAAATTGATAATTGAGATAAACTTGAGGGATCAAGTAGATAAAAATTAAAGTTGAAGGAAATCAATAACTAAGATAAATTTGAGGAATCAAAAGTTTTATCATCCCAAAAATAAAATACTTCATCATTTAATAACCTTCTAAGCCTTTAATAAGGATAGAATGATAAGGATGGATGCAAAAATCATATAAATGTCTTATAAATAAAACTAAAATAAATACTCTTTTTTTACATTATAAATAAGACTAAGGGGAAGAGGGAGAGTGTGTGTGTATTGGTGGGGGGGCATTCATCCTCAAAAAAATTAATATTTTTGTTTATATCCTCTCCGTATAATATTATAAGACTTTTTTTAAAAATATCATGTTAAATGATATAAAAAAGTTTGGATCTTTCAACATATAATTAATAAAGTTTTTTTATTTATAAAGTTTTCTAATTAAAACACCTATTAAATAACAATAAAGGTGACAAGAGTATATAATTTTAAATATAATTAATGTGTAGTGCAATTAGAAGTAACTTGTAATATTTAATGGAAAAATTGGAGAGTGTTTCACTTATTTAATTACTACTTTTTGACACTTGATTTCACTGAGATAATTAAAGTAACTTGAATATATGACTTGAAAGAGTACGAAATATTATTGAATAAGTAACAGCAGTAGCAGTAATAAATTTTTTTATATGTTAGCTCTTTAAGAAGTAAGAGTGATTGAAAAGACTCACAATAATTATGCCTCCGTGGAGGAAAGATCAAGTTTGGGTGTCCAATCCATTCTTTTCACCCCTCTCAGCAGTTTTCTTTTCTCACATTATGCTACATTTACTATGTGGAAGGAGGCACATAGTTCAAATTCATGCGTCAAAATAGATATTATTAAGTCCCAAAAAATTTTAACTTGTCATATATAAAAAAAACTAATATATATATATATATATATAATTTATGATAGATGTCATTGTTCTTTCAAATTCTCATACCTAAAGTTTATATTTTCTGTTTGTATTTATTATTTTTATTTAACTCTTTCCGTTTAAAAATTTTAATCCCATTTACAATAACTCATTAATTTTATCGTAGATGATTGTTATTTTTCCATTTGATCCCTTATAGAATTGATTCGTAAATTTAGTGTATAATGAAGAAAATAAGAAATAATTATTTTTAAACTTATTTTTTTATTTTACTCTTTCAGTGCAAAAAAATTTAATCCCACTTACAATAACTTATTAATTTTATCGCAGATGATTGTTATTTTTCCATTTGATCCCTTATAGAATTTATTCTCAAATTTAGTGTACAATGAAGAAAATAAGAAATAATTACTTTGTAGATTTTATTTTATTTTTACTTTATTAATGCAGCCTCTTCTCGTCACGTGCTACTCACGTGTTCCCCATTTTTCTTCCTCCTTTTTATGACTTCTTTAGATCATAATAACAATTGTCAATAGCCATCGTTAATTGTCAAAGTGTGCTTTTGCTTGGTGTTCCTTTCTCTTGTAAGAAAAACATTTTAATTTTTTTCTCATAGATAACTTGTTTAAAATATGGGATTTAAATTCCTTAGAAATGATCATTAATACCGTTTTTAAGCTTTTAGTGCAGTGCTAAACTACCATGTCAGAGTTTATTATAATGTGCATAGGTAATTGGTAGTGGGGAAAATTAATCAATTACTTCTACACTCTCCACAAAGTTAAAATTTAGTTTCTAAAGTATAAACTATGCTTCAGTATAATTCAATTATTATAATTTTAATTTGATTCAAATTTAATGGCATAACATTAATTAAATATAACTCAACTCTTATAATTTTAACCATTTAAAATAGTAATTCTTACATTTTTAAAATATAAAATTAAAGAGAATATTATTATTTCTTGAAATTTAGAGACTATTGTTTTTTATGGCTAGAATTATAAAACTTGAGTCACACTGAATCAAAATTCAAAAATTAAGTTTTAACAAAGTCAAAAGTATAAAAATGGCTTAAGTTGCTCCCGAGAGGAATTCTTAGCTTTGTCGTCGTTTTCCTCAATCTACTCACACTTTTGATACAGGTCCATATATCGAATGTAGGACTTGCCAAAAGAAGGGATATATTGCTACAAACTATCCTTCTTTGACTTGTTGTTATTGTAAGAAGCTTAGGCATCTCATTAATTAATGTCCTACTTGACCTCCCAAACCTAATCAGGGGAGGTCATTTAGGTTTGGTTCCTCGTCATCCAAGCCTACTCTATCTATTACTAATGAGCCAACTATTATTGTTGCTTCTACTTTGGGATCCTCTACCACTATTGAACTTGAGCTTTTACTCTGCAAGATTATCTCTAATTCTTTCAATCCACCCGCTGCCTTAACCACACCTTCAGATATATCTTATTGGTATTTTGATTTCGCCTATTGTAATCACATGACCAATTAGAAACACTTCTTCTTCTCTATGTTACCTAATACCACTGCTCACCCTATATACACTGCTAATAACTTTCAAATGCCCATTAGTCATATTGGTACTGTTTCTCGCCTTCTCTGTCCATTCATGATACTTATTTAGTCCCTAACATTAGTTTTAATATCCTATTTATTGGACAATTAGTTAATATGGGCTATGATATTTTATTTAACAAATGTGGTTATGTTGTTTCTGTTTCTCAAACAGGACAGGTTATTGAAACTAGGCATGAGGTTGGTCAAATATTTGAGCTCAATTCCCTGCATCTTCCTGAGGTCACTTCTTCTAGGTTGTGTGCTGCCTCCACCTCTACTTCCCTTGATTTATGGTATCGTAGTCTCACTCATCTGCCTTTAACTGCTTCACAGCCTTTACTTTCTAATAGTCTTTTGGGACAAGTGATGTTGAGTCTTTGTATTGTATGTCTTGTCAAACTGCTAAACATCCTGCTTTATCATTTAATAAAAATGACTCTATTGCTAATAAGCCTTCTGATCTAGTCCATTTTGATGTTTGGGGCCCAACACTCACTCCCTCTATTGGAGACTCATGATATTGTCTGATTTTTTGTTAATGATTTCTCCCGTTATACTTGGATTTACATGATGAAAAGTTGATCTAACTTGCCTGATATCTACGTTAAATTTTCTATTATGGTTTGCACTCAGTTCTCTAAAGTTATAAAAGTTCTTCGTCTTGATAATGCCTTGGAATATTGTGATTCTAAATTGCTCAAATTTCTTGATGCTTAAGGGATAGTCTCTCAAAACTCGTGTCCCTACACCTCTCAGTAAAATAGTCGACCTGAATGAAAACATTGTCATATTCTTGATTTAGTTCGAGCCATCCTCATTTCTTCTTCTTATCCTAAACGCTTCTATGGGAAAGCTGCCTTAATAGCTGTCTATTGCATAAATAAAGTTCCTACCACTATTCTTGGTAATATTTTTCCTTTTGAGCGCCTTCATGGTATTCCTCTTAATTATAATCTTTTGATAGTTTTTACCTGTGTCTATCTTATTCCTCTCCTTCCACATTAAAATACCAAATTGCAAGCCCATGCCCATGCTCGTGTCTATGTTTTCTTGGTTATAACCCTGAGCATAAGTGTTATCGTTGCTAGGATCCCATATCTCTTTACATTCAAATCTCTCGTCATGTTGTTTTCTAGGAACATATGATGCTTTCATTCTTAACTAAATGCTCCTCTGTTTCTCCTTCTTCACCTTCTATTATCATAGATCTTTTGGCTGATCTATTTCCAAGTGACTGTGATGCAGTTTCCCTTATAAAGCTCACTATCGACTCTGCGCTTGCTCTTGATATGCCTACTGTCACACCTCAAGATGTTTTCACACAAGTCATGTCTCTTGAACCCTATCATTTGATGATACTTGACCCTACCGTGTAAGAAACCGCCCTCTTACTATAGTGATTACCATTATTTTTCTACTATTCTCCAATTACAGGAAAACAAATCCTTTAAGGTAGCCTCTTATGATCCCTTATGGCAGCAAGCTGTGAATGAAGAATTACAAACTTAGAGAAATGCACACTTGACATCTTGTTGATCTTCCTTTTGGTAAAACTATAGTTGGCTGCTAATGGGTGTATAAAAACAAGATTTATTTGGATGGCTCTTTAAAACAACATAAGACATGCTTGGTGATCCAAAAGTTTATACAGGAATATGGTATTGATTATGAGAAGACTGTTGTACCTATTGCACGCATGACTTATGTT